GTTTTCCCTTTCCCAGCTAGTGGAGACAATATACACAGACTTACAAGGGCTCCCCCGCTTCCAGCACAACCATAGTTTTGTTTGTTGTTCGGGGTGCCTGGCAACCTTATCAGACCAGGCTCAGAATTACTGGGTCAATGAGTGAGACTTGTCTTCCTTTGCTTTCAGCCTCCTGTATTAAGTTCTTTGTTAGACCGCAATGGTGACCCCTGCCTTTATTTCTCTGCTGGCTGCTCACTCCTGGCTGCTGCCATGCGTTACCCAGCAACCATGACATTAGCCTTTGACCAGCGACGGCAGCATGGTCTCAGAGCTCTTCCTATGCTGTCTCCTGCAACAAAGCCACCCTCCGTCAAGAGTCGTCGTAATCTATGTAGAATTCTTGGTATGTTTACTTGAGCAAAACTGACGACAGTTGCTGAGGAGCAATAATTCATCGGATTGAGAAATGCTCAGAAAAATGGCAGTTTGGCACTTATTATAGTCACTATCACCAAAGGAGGAGACATAAGGGTAAGTGGTAGGGTCACCAAAATGTCAGGGTGCCCCCCCCCAATGCAAGATTTGAAAGAATTCACAAAGAGGAGAAAATGCAGAGGGCAAAGTGTTTCCACTTTGCAAGAGTGGAAAGGGGTCTAAGAGCATGAGGTGGCAGTGCTGGTGACAGGTCGGGGCTGTGAGTTTCACTGGGTGCAAGAGGGGACGGAGCTATAGCCGGGCAGTCGGTCGTGGCAGTTAGTTGTAAATCAGGAGGTTTCAGGCTTCAGTGTGGCTTCGGTTTGTTTCTCTGTTACCTTCGGGTTCAGGGTCCAGGTGCTCAGGTCTGGTCTGGCCTGGTTGTGTAAGTTTTAAAATACTTGTGTCGGGGGGGTGGAATGGGGGAATGCTTTTAGTAATCCACCCAGTCCCGAGAATAGAGGCTCAGAGAAACAATAGTTAATTATGCTTGGCCGGCTCAAGGAAAGAGAGAGCCAGTGCTGGTAGAGAGGGCCTTTTTTGTTCTTTAAAGGGGGTTACATGAAGTCCATTGATGACAGAATAGGGAGGCAGGAGAAAGCAAAGTGGGGAAACCTCAGGGACTGCATAATGTAAAAGGATAGGCACATCCTACACACAGGTGGGGACAGGATAGTAACAGTCAACAATGAACAAGATAGTAATAGGCAACAACGAACATGGCAACAACGGCGAAGGGACTCCTGATCTTGGCTCTAGTGTGATGGCTGTGCCCAAGGGCAGAAAAAGCAGAATTACCTGACATTCAGAAGGTGTGTTATCATAGGACAGGCTCGGTGCAAGTAAAGACTGACTTGCACCGAGTAAAGTCCGGGAGAAACATCTGCCCTGGACATGACTGCCCACAAAGAACTGCTTTTAGTTGGTAAGTTTTCATTTCAGACTATCTCTCCCATTGCTACAGCTATATAATACTCATCTAGATTGGGTGTATATATGATTCTGATAGGGGACTCAAGACTTGGAAAATTTTAGCTTAAGGTAAAAAGTTGTAAGTCTAGCAAGTCATGTGTATGTTGAAGCTTTTGTTTCAGAGACTACAGATAAGGCCCATCCTGGTTCCTGGGGAAAACAGTGGCCTCCTGGGGCACTGGCTAGAGGTCACCACCTGGGGACAAGTTGGAGGCATCCGGCCTTTTTGTCTTCCAGGGGAGCAGACACCACCCCCACCTTGGGAACAGCTCACTGCCCAGGACTGGAGTGTTGCAGCTTCTGAATCTCAAAGCCCTCACCGCGCCTTGTTTGTCCTCCCCCACCCACCCCCCTTATAAAAGGTCTGGCCAGGAAAGAGAAGGGACGATGGTTTGTTAGGGTATGAACCCACCATCTTCTTGGATCATGGGCCATGATCTGAATAAAGTGCCCATAAAAGATTCAGTTGCTGTCATTGCTTATTGGGTTTGGTAGTGATAGGCAGCCCAAATGCTGGTGTCTTCTGGTTACACTAAGGGAAACAATATCATTCTCCCCAGACCCTCTCCCTTATTTGATATGAAAAATTTAACTTGCGCCCTGGCTGGTGTGGCTCAGTGGATTGAGTGCCGGTCTGTAGACTAAAGAGTCACCGGTTAGATTCCTGGTCAGGGCACATGCCTGGGTTGTGGGCCAGGTTCCCAGCTGGGGGCGTTTGAAAGGCCACCAATTGATATTTCTCTCACACATTGATGTTTCTCTCCCTCTCTTTTCCCCTCCCTTCCACTCTCTCTAAAAATAAATCTTTAAAAAAATTAACTTGGGTACCTGCTAATCTCTGCCACCTACTAGACAATGATATTCTAATTATTAGTCAGGATAATGAAGGTAATGCTTTCTTGGCCACACATTGGGCTTCTCTTCCTATTGATAGGGGACTTAAATGTTAGAAAGATTTTAGTTTCAGGTAATAGCTAATAAGCACAGTAATCAATGCATGTAAAATGCATTATTTTGGGAACCAAAGGTATGACTGACGCACACTGATTCCAGAAGACCATGAGCAGTTCCACCTTTGTGCCTCGGGAGGAATGCAAGCAATCAAGATGGCATTTGAGCTGTTGTGCTCCAGGGAGAGACACTCAATACCCAGGACACAGATAAAGACCAGAGCCCAGCACAGAGACAGAGAATACTGCAGGTTTTATCTGGTATCTGATGAACTTTTCCCTGAATTCCAAACCCCTTACCTACACTCTTCTTCTCCTTATGAAAAAAGTCAGTTTAAAGTGGAATTGAAGACAGTCTGTTAGGTTACAAACCTGCCATTTTTTTTTTTTTTTACGATTTTTATTTATTTATTTTCAGAGAGAGCAGAAGGGAGGGTGAAAGAGAGGGGGAGAGAAACATCAGTTGGTTGCCTCCTGCTGGCCCCCAAGTGGGAACCCGGCTGGCAACCCAAGTATGTGCCCTGACAGGGAACCAAACCTGTGACCTTCCAGCTGGCAGGCCAGCACTCAAGCCACTGATCCACACAAGTCAGAACCAAACAGGCCATCTTTTCAGATCTCAGACCATCTGAATAAAGTACGCATAAAGATTCAATCGCTCTCTGCTTATTGGGTCTGGTAGGTGACAGGTAGCAAGAATATAGGCTTTTCTGGCTTCACTATCAATATAAGCTGTGACACTTTTTTTTTGGGGGGGGTTAATACCTATTATAAAGAACCCATTATGACAAATACATCCAGTCCAAGAACGCTTCCCTGACAACTCCTCTGGTAGAATTGTAACTAGAAAAGACACCAGCATTTGGGCTGCCTGTCACTACCAAATCCAATAGGCAATGACAGCAACTGAATCTTTTATGGGCACTTTATTCAGATGGCCCGTGATCCGAGAAGATGGTGGGTTCATACCCTGACAAACCATCTTCCCTTCTCTTTCCTGGCCAGACCTTTTATAAGGGGGGTGGGGAGGGACAAACAAGGTGCAGTGAGGGCTTTGAGATTCAGAGGCTGCAACACTCCAGTCCTGGGCAGTGAGCTGTTCCCAAGGCGGGTGGTCGTCTGCTCCCCTGGAAGACAAAAGACCGGATGCCTCCAACTTGTCTCCAGGTGGTGACCTCTAGCCAGTGCCCCAGGAGGCCACGGTTTTCCCCAGGAGCCAGGATGGGCCTTATCTCTGGTTTCTGAAACAAAAGCTTCAACGTACACATTACTCGGTAGACTTACAACTTTTTACCTTAAGCTAAAATTTTCCAAGTCTTGAGTCCCCTATCATTAGAAAACCATAGAGAAGATAACTATAAAAATCATTCTATGCACATTGTATCAATAGAAGCATCAATTTGTGAGCATCCAGGTCAGGTTGGTATCTTCAGCATTAACATGGTGTCCTGACAATGAGGGGATTTGTGGTCTCAGCTCTGGTGTGGTGCCCAAGGGTGAGGCAGAAGGGAGGGGAAGAAGTTACCTTGACATTCTAAAGGTATGTTTATCATAGACACAAGTCTTGCTTCCTGGACTCATTTTGACCTTTGTCTAAAAAAATGTGTTGGTTTATCTGACAGACCTAGGCAGGCCTAGGAGGAATGGAAAATCACCAGGCCAGAAACTGCACTATGGGAAATGGCCTGCCTGGAAATGGCTGCCCTCCTACCCAGGATGAACAAATGTTCAGCTAAGACTGGGGTCTGGGGTCGGCCCGTCCGGCATAACAGGATGCAGCTTTAACTTGAGCCTGACAAGATGTATAGAGAACAGTGGTCAGCAGAAATGGCACCCAGCCACCAGCTCTGGCCAGTCAGACTCTGACACCCCAACCAGATACCCTTTGTGGGTTTTTGTGCTTAAAAACCCTGCCCTAAGAACAACTGAGTGAGTCTTAACCTCCCTTGGTTGGCTCCACTTTTCCCCTTTTTCCTTGCTAATAAACCTTGCTCCTTAGCTTGCTGCGTCTGTGTGGTTTCTTGAGTGACTCTGACCTTACATTATTAACTGTCAAAAAAAAAAAAAAAATAGCCCTGGGTAGGTGACTGAGTTGTTTGGAATGTCATCTGGGTACACCAAAGGGTTTCAGGTTTGATCCCCAACCAGGGAGTGTGCAGCCGGCAAACTCATTGTTATTTCTCTCTCACTTCAACGTTCCTCTCTCTCTCTAAAATAAAAAACATACCCTTGGCTGGGGATTAAAAGAAATAAAAGAGTAATTGTAAAAAAAGGGGACTTTGGGACGGTCAGTCCCCCTTCAAGAGGTGGAGATATGTATCGCTTGTCTAGATTCCCAACACTGACACCAATCAGCAACTGTACAGAAGCTGGACCAGCCTGAGTCTCAATCAACAGCAGCTCATGGCCTTTTGTGAATCTCAGGAGCGGCAGGGCCACAGGGCCCAGGCGGGGCCTTCAGAGCCTTCAGTCAGCAGCCATTTTACCAACGTTCACAGAAGCGTCTCAGCTAAGTAACATCCTGTACAAAAGTAGTAGTATTTCTTCTATTGCTACGTATATATATTTATAGAGTTACATATAAAAGTATGTAGATATACTTTTTTAAAAACACAAATAATACCCTCTTACAAAGACATGTAGCTTTCCCTGTCTTTGGACACCCAAGAACTGGAGGCCAAGAAACACGGACTTGAAGAAATCTGCGGCCAGCTCTCTCCCTGCAGGCTCAAGACCAACCATCCCACACAGGACAAAAAGAAAAGCAACATGAACATGAAAAGATTGAAGCTCATTTTTAAATAACTGGGTATATAGCCTCAGTTTTGCCAGGTGAATAAGTCCTAGAGGTCCACTGCTGTGCAAAATTGTCCTCTGATTAATGACACTGTCTTGTACACCTAAAGTTGTGTTACGAGGGTAGATCTCATGCCCTGGCTGGGTGGCTGGATGGAGCAGCACCCTGTCACCAAAAGACTGTGGCTTTGAATCCGTCAGGATGCGTGTGGTAGGAAACTGATCAATATTTCTCACACTGATTTCTCTCTCTGCCTTCCTCTACAATCAATAAAGACATCCTTAGGTGAGGATTTTTTAAAAAAGGGGGTAGATCTCATGTTCAGTGTTTTTGCCCACCAGAGAATAAAATGCCATTTTAAAGGCAAAATATGAAAAATGTAAGCTTGCTTTTTTCTGCAGTGTCCTGCCTCTCTCATGCTTTTATAGGATACCGTGTAATCAGTTCCACTGAAGTTGTATTTCTTCAACAACAACAAAAAAACAATGGAGAAAATAAAAATGTAAATGACAGTGCACAGTAGATACTGTTGTCGATTGTTTTGTCATTTAATGCTGCAGCACAGAGCATCTTCCATTATCGGTATCTTCAGCTCTCCCTCGCCATTTCTTACCCAGATCCCAATGTATTTATCCAAACTTCTAAGGACAGATCCTGGGGTGTTGTCAATGTTTCCTCTCTTCCAAGCACAGCCCCACTGAGGCCTGGACTAAAAGGACCCTGTCCTGTCCCCCAATATCTACAGAGCTGTCTTCTCACAGGAGAAACTCGGTTCTTTTTTTTCCCTTGATTGCACACACACACACACACACGCATATATATTTAGATTTTATTTATTTATTTTTAGACCGAGGGGGAAGGAGGGAGTGAGGGAGAAAAACATCGGTGTGGTTGACTCTCAAGCGCCCCCTACTGGGGACTTGGCTGGAAACCCAGGGATGTGCTCAGACTGGGAATTGAATCTGAGACCCTTTGGTTTGCAGGCTGGTGCTCAATCCACTGAGTCACACCAGCCAGGGCTGTACATGTATACTTAACAACAGTTTTACATAGACTGCTAAAAGCACTTCATTATTTTACAGAAGGACTTGAAACATGAACTTTCTATTAATATTCTTACCATAGCACAGCCTAACCTAACTCCCAACTAAATGCATTGCAATTTGTTTAAAGTTTAAATGCTCCGCGGAGATAATGAGAGAGAATGCGTAAATTTGTTTTACGTAAATGAATGAAAAATAAACTCAAGGAATAGTCAGTGAAATCTAGTATGTCCTCATGTGCCCTGAAGGAGGTGGTGCCGATTTGGAGGGTAATTGTATGTCCAGATAATCACCAATCTGAAACTTCTGAGACTGCAGGGTCATGGAATCTTCCGTCACCTTTCTGGACGTGGTTCTGCCAATCTCCTTTACTTAATAGCCAGGTCTTCTAATATCCATACAAACAATTACAAAACTGAAGTGTGTGCCTTTCTTCCTAGCTTCTGGGTAGACTTCTTTTACTAAATTAGTTCTTTCAAGGGGGCCGCCTTCCAGGTGTTGATCTGCAGTCCACGGAAGGCAGGTCCCACCAGAGAACACATCCATGTGGTGGTGGCGCCCCCTGGAGGTGGTGAAGCCACACAGCAGCAGAAGGAACATTTGTGATTGGCTTCTCGCAATTCCTTCTTAATTTCCTCCTGGGTGATGAGCGACTCCACCACCATCTTCCTCCTGTGGCCCTAGGTGATCCGAAACTCAGTTCTTTTTGACGATGCAGTAAAGAATTATAAATCAGCAAGTCAACTGGTGTGCACGCAGAATTTATTGGTGGTACATTCTCATGGAAGAGAATGGGCCTTGCTGTGGTCGGGGAGAAAGGCAAGAGCAAGCCCAGCAAGAGCATCGGGTCCTTTGTTCTGAGGACTTACATAACTGGCGGGATGGGGGTGAAGAAGTTATATATTGATTGACAGGTAAGGTGGTGCCAGCTTTCCTGGGGGGACGTGACTACCCAAACTTAGGTAGGTGTGGGGGTCTATTAGTCCTAATCTTTTGGAACAGACTCTATTTCTTCATGTTCTTGTAAAACAGAAACATGACCAGAGGCAGTTAATTAAAGTCGGGGCAGTTACCCAGAGTTATTCATGGGCTCTTACTGTAAGAGATAGTTACCAGAGGCAGGCAATTAATAAAAACTGTTCTGTGGGCACCTTCTCTGGGCACTATGGACCCCCCTCCCACCTTCCAGGCCTTGGGATGAACATATAGTTTCAAAGGCTTTCTTCGCCACATACTGGAAACGATGCATAAATGTCAAGGGCTCTCTCCTCCCATGCTAACACCCACCGTGTTTCCGACGATGTCAGAACACCTGGCAACATAATCAGACCAGGCTCAGGACTGATGAGTTAGTAGGTGAGACAGGTCTCCTTCTCCCTGCCTTGGTTCACTAACCCACCTACCATTCTCTTTGCAGACTGGGGCTGTATTCCAAGGTCACCTTCTGAAAGAAGTTCTACTTCACTGCCAGAGCTGAAACAGCCCCTCCCTTCACTTTCTACCTGTCACCTGTGATGTCAGTAATGACTAGTGGGGGCTCCGTCAGACGAGGGGCTGTGGTTTTGCCCCTTGCTGGACTACTAGCACCTGGAATAGTACCAGGCACAGAAGAGGCACTCAAATGCTTGTTAAATGGTTCGCTGGTTCCCCTGAAGCCTCGCATGTCTTGAGATTCCTGCTTATCAGAGGATGCAGAAATTCTAGGTCTTCATGTATTAGTCATCCACTTTCTTATTTCTTCAAACAGTGTTTCCCCTTTCCCCCCACCAAGTGGGAGAAAAACTCAGGCTCCTTCTTCACCCAATTTCCTCCTTCCCATCCCCACCCCCACCCCCACACATACCTATCACATGAACCTCCCTGTGCCACGTCAAATTCAGCAGTGAAAAAACGCCAGCTTCACACTTGCCTCTCCTCCTCCACTTCTTGCCACCTCTCAGCCCCTCGGGAAAGCGGGTGATCACCTGTAAGGACACATTCCCTGCTAGGCGCCTCCTTAAGAAACTTGGGCCAAAGGAAAATTCCTCCTATGAAATTACATGCCATGGAGAATGTTTACTAGGTAAATGAGCATCCATGATGAAGGAGACAGGAAATCTACTGAGCCTCCGTGAGGGTGGTGGTAGTGCCGTGTGTGTGTGTGGTGGGGAGAAGGACAGACGCTATTTCCTGCTGGTATTTCTCTCTGATCATGGGAGACCAGCACAACCCAGGAAAACCTGTTCTGATAACAGGCATGAGACACGGTTTCTATCCGTCTTAGAAAGTGAGGATTAAAGGATTACAATGATGAATCCTGGCTGGCGTGGCTCAGCGGATTGAGCGCTGGACATTGAAACAAAGGGTCATTGGTTTGATTCCCAGTCAGGGCACATGCCTGGGTTGTGGGCCAGGTCCCTGGTAGGGGGCACACGAGAGGCCACCACATGTTGATATTTCTCTTCCTATCTTCCTCTCTTTCTCCTTCCCTTAACCTCAAATAAATAAATAAATAAATATTTTGAAAAAAATGTTTTTTTCATAAGGGAAAGGAGGAAGAGAAGGAGAGAAACATCAGTGTGTGGTTGCCTCTTGTTTATCCCCTGCCAGGAACTGACCTGCAACCCAGGCATGTGCCCCGACTGAGAATTGAACCGCGACCCTCTGGTTCACAGGCCTGCGCTCAATCCACTGAGCTACACCAGCCAGGCTGAAAAATTTTTTTAAATTATTAGAATGATGGCACATAATGTAACTTCCTATGTGTAAATTTTGTTCTGAATGCTTCCCTGTATTACTCAATTTGTTCTTCACAAGACTATGAGGTAGATACCATCCTTGTCCCCATTATACAGATGAGAAAACTGAGGTTAGAGAGGCGTTCTTTCAAAAGATCCCGCAACAGATTCTGGCTGGTGTGCCTCAGTGAATTGAGCACTGGCCTGAGAACTCAAACGTTGCCAGTTCGATTCCCAGTCAGGGCAGATGCCTGGACTGTGGGCAGGCCAGATCCCCAAATGGGGGAGTGTGAGAGCCAACTAATTGATGTTTCTCACACATGGATGTTTCTCTCCCTCCCTCTACCCTCTCTGAAAAATAGATAAATAAAATCTTTTAAAGAAGAAAAGATTCTGCAACAGGAGCGGGAGAAATTTGGATTCGGCAGCCTGCCTCCTAGGAACTATCACCTGACCACCCCCATCTCCCCCCACCTTCATGACCCTGAAGCCTTTCCCAAAATTCATGATACTCAAGCCTGTGCCCTCGAAGTTAACAGACTGCATGCTCAGTAGCTGACAGTGACCGGCAGTAGTCAGAGCTGTTACGTTTGGTTCAGAGGGCCCAGTTCACAGATACGTGGCCAGGGTTCTACAGGCTAACCCATACCAAGTACTGGGAACAGACCCAGAGACGTGCAGTTGGTGCTATGGACTTTTAAGGGGACTCACCACATTTTAAAACTACAACAGAAACTTTAGAATATGTAGCAAAAAATAGCCCAGGCTTTATTTACTTATATATTTTTTCTTTTATTGTTTCTAGAAAGAGGGGAAGCAGGGAAAAGGGAAGAGCATCATTAATGTGAAAAACATTGATTGGTTGCCTCTTGCATGCATCCAGACTGGGAACCGACCTGTGACCTAGGCATGTGCTCTGACCGGGAATCGAACCCACAATCTTTCAGTTTGTGGGACAACGGCCAACCACGTAAACCACACCAGCAAGAACAAAACTGGCTAAGGCTTTAGAGCTGCACAGTCCATTAATTAAAGTTAAACAAAGTTCAGGTCACACAACAGAATCAACCAATGAATGCATATATAAGTGGAACGACAAAAGCTTGTCAATCTCTCCCTTCCTCTCTAAAATCAATTTAATAAAATTAAACACCGGTAAAAATTCAGTTCCGAGGCTGCATTGACCACACGTCAAGTTCAATGCCCCATGTAGCCAGGGACCCCCACATGAACAGCACAGACACAGAGCTTTCCGTCCCTGCAGAAGTGCTGGGGGCAGCCCTGCTCCAGCAGGTCCCAGCACGTGTCGTGGGAACCGTGTGTGAATTAGCTCAGGAAACACCTAACACCACAGGGCAGGTTTCCTCACTCAGTCTCCTTACAGACGAGGACACCGGGGCTCAGAAAACGCCCGCACTGGTCGGAGCACACAGCTGGGGTGTGAGCCTGCGCAGAGCTGGTGCCAGAGGTCCTGCTCCCAACCAGATCCAGTCAGTCACCTGCTTCTTCCTGATCTGGCAGCGCTGCTGGGTGGTTCCCCTTCCTTCCCTCCTTTCCCTGTTCCTCTTTCTCTCCTGGTCCAAGTGTCCAAGTTCCTCCCCCTTCACTTGTGGAGGCCGACCAACCACATCTGAGGGGGGGTAAGTGGGAGTGGCCCCCAGACCACACAAGCTGACACTGGGCTCTACCCAGGGGTATGCGGTTTGAGCGCCTCCCCACTAAGAAGCTGCCTTTGAGTCAGACAGCCTGCTGTGCTCACTGGGCCCCGGATTTTCATCCTGAGAAATATTAGAGCTCTGAGGCTTGGCTTCATCAGAGGAAAGCCTAGGATAATAACAGCGCTCTGAGTAGTAGTAAATTACCCATTTATTTGTTTTTAATTAAAAAAAATTTTCATTCATTTATCTTTAGAGGGAAAGGGAAAAAGAGAGGGAGAGAAATATCAATGTATGGTTGCCTCTTATGTGTCCCCTGCTGGGAACTGGCCTGCAACCCAAGCATGTGCCCTGACTGGGAATCGAACTGTGGTTGCTTGGTTCCCAGGCCCACGCTCAATCCACTGAGCTACACCAGCCAGGGCTAATTACCCATTTATTAATAAATACTTTATGTAGTGTTGTTAACAGAGCACCATTCTTATATTGTTTGCTATTTATTATTGGTAATAGATCGCTATCATCATCAATAATGAAAGTCAAGTACACCATGACCTGGGCTGTGGGGCACGGACAAGGTAATGCCCCCCGCCTGATGAAGGCACTTTATTTTCGCAAGAATTCCCTCGGGCACCAGGTGGCGGGGGATGGCCTATGGTCTGAGATGGGGCTGTTTTCCTGTAAGGGAGGCAGCTCTGAGGGGAGGGACGGGGCAGCCTGGCTGGCTCACAACAAGGGGGACCCTTCCCCCCATCTTTGAGGCTGAGGCTCTGGGCCCAGCCTTCTGGTCTGACCATTCCCAAGCCAGGAATCCGGGGCTGGGAGGGGCAGGTGTTCTCATACCTGGGACAGGATTGCTGGCTTTCTGGGGTTCTGGTGGGGAATTCACGCCCCCTCCCGCCAGGCGCTGACACTCATGATACTCATTTTTGACAGGACTACCTGTACCTGTATCATCTACCCCTGATGAGTGTTAAAAATGGCATTGGATTCCATTAATTAGAAGTTTTATTAAAAATAATTGAACAGATCACTATGTGAAACTTTGGCATTTGAAGCAATTACCTGTCACTTTCTAATGCCGACAAAAAGAACTTTTTTCCCCTCATGAACCACTTGGCCACTGCTCCTGTTGCGGGGACACTGGAGGCTGGGTGTGAAAATTCTTCCCCTCCCCCACTTTACAACCCAGGGGATGGAGACCCGGAGACACTGACTGCATTCTCCCAGCTCCTATGTCAGTGTAGCTGAGCTCAGTCTCCAGCCGCTGAGCCCCTGGCCACGCTCCCAGATGCCAGACCTACAGGGAGCTTGCTTCCCTCATGGCCCTGCAGATGCTCTAGAAGCGGCTTGTGGGTATGGCGTGGCCTCTCCGCACAGCCCAGGTGCCCGGTACCCATCTGAACAGGACTTCTCTCGAGTCCTACCTGTAAGCTCCAATGTCAAGCCTGGCAGTGGCCCATGGGCTCAGGACCACCCTGTTGGGTGTGAATTTTGACATCCCATGCTCCCCCCACCCCAGCAGGGACGCATCCTTCTCGGGTGTCCCAGAGGTAGATGTTCAGGCTGAACATCTCTCCCCTCTGGATCCTCTAGTGCAGGGTGAGCACGTAGTTCCTAATAAAGGCCGCGCCACCCTGGCTGCACCTGTCGGGCTTCTCCCAGGAGTGGCCGTGTGCCGCGGGAACGAGCGCTCTGTCAAGTGCATCTCACACGGAGCACCTGTTGGGCCTGTCCTCAGGTGCAAGCACAGGTGTTCCATGAGGAAGTCCTTGCTGCAAGTCCTTCCACACAGGCTGCACTGGGAGGCCTTCACCCCCTTTTGGAAGCACTGGTGGTGGATCGGTCAGGCGTTCTTGCCGAGTGCGTCCACTGGTGCTCCACCAGATGCGTGCTCTGGCTGAAGGCACCCCTGCCTAGGGCACACTCGGGTGGCTTCTCCCCGTTTTGTGTCCTTGTTGCACAATGAGCCGATCCCTCTGCTGAAGGCCTTGCCGTAGTCCCCACACACGGAACGCTTCACCCGGTGTGCACCCGCTGGTGGACCGTGAGGTTCGACTGCTGGGTGAACTGCTTCCCACACAAGGTGCATGAGAAGGGCTTCTCTCCGGTGTGAATTTGTTGGTGCTTCTTCAGAATCAAGTTACAGCTGAAAGCTTTGCCACAATGCACACAGTGGCACGGCTTCTCCCCAGTGTGGGTGTGTTGGTGCATGTTTAGGCACAGTTTGTAGTGGAAAGCCTTGCCACACTCCCTGCACTCGTAAGGCTTGCGGTGGATTTTTGATTTGACGGTAGCGGAGCTTGCCGCACTCCCTGCACTCGTATGGCTTCTCCCCTGTGTGGATTCGTTGGTGCGTCTTCAGGGATGAGTTACAGCCAAAGGCCTTGTCGCACCGGCCGCACTTGTAGGGCTTCTCGCCAGTGTGCACGCGCAGGTGCTGCGTGAGTAGGAAGTTCTTGCTGAAAGTCTTTCCACAAACGCTGCACTTCGAGGGCTTTACCCCCATGTGGATGCGCTGGTGCTCAATCAGGTAGGTGTTCTGGCTAAAGGTCTTGCCACAGCGGCCACAGGAGTAGGGCCGCTGGCCCGTGTGGGTCCCCAGGTGCAGCCTGAGAGATGAGCTCCTGTTGAAGGCCTTGCCACACTCTGGACACATGAATGGCTTCTCGTCCGTGTGTGTTCGCTGGTGCTCAATGAGCTGCTTGCTCTGGCTGAAGGACCTGCCACAGTCCCCGCACGTGAATGGCTTCTCCCCAGTGTGCGTCCTCTGGTGCACAGTGAGGTACTTATTCTGGCTGAAGGCCTTCCCGCAGTGCCCACACGTGTACGGCTTCTCCCCGCTGTGAGTGCTCTGGTGCACGGTAAGGTGCTTGTTCTGGCGGAAGGCCTTCCCACAGTCCACGCACACGTATGGCTTCTCCCCAGAGTGCACATGCCGTTGACCCGTAATTGAGTTGTGGCTGAAAGCCTCGCTGCACTCCGGGACCGTGAGCGGCTTCTCGCCCCCGAGAGTCCTCTGGTGCACGAGGAGCCACTCGTTCCTGCTGAAGACCCTTCCGCAGTCCCCAGAGGTGAAGGGCTCCTCCCCAGTGTGCTCACGCTGGTGGATGGTGAGGGACGCCGTCCAGGTGAACTGCTTCCCACACGTGATGCATGAGAAGGGCTTCTCCTTGGTGTGGACTCGCTGATGGTCTTTCAGGGACAAATTATAGCTGAAAGCTTTGCTGCGGTCTCCACACTCATAGGGCTTCTCTGCATGGAGTTTGGAGGGAGGACTGAGGCCTGAAGTACCCGAGTCCTTCCCACACATGGTGAACGGGTGCGTCCCCGCTCCTCTCAGTCCTTCAGGTCTCAGTGGGTCTGGCAGGGGGCTTTGGTGGACAAACGCCTTAAATTCAAAGCATTCATGGGCTAACTTTTGGGACACATCCAAGCACCCCAGAGAAGTCCTTGGGCTCCCCTGTCGCTGCCCCACTAGGTCACCCTGTGTCCCTGCTCCTTCACAGGCAGAATCCTGGGCACCATTCCTTGTGGGTCCTTCTGCCACAACTGCAATGGATCATCTGTCCTCCCAAATGTCCTCCTGTGGGTCCAATTCTTTCATTTCAGGTCTAGTCTCCAAGTCTGAGGGAGGGGAAGGAGATGACGACACACGTGTGGTTAACCAGCTGGGAGGGAGGACCTTCCCAAGGTGAAACAAGGCACAGCCTGAGAGCAGGAGACAGCCTGTCATGGGGACAGAGGAGGAAGTGAGATAGTGAGGTTTACGGGGGTCAGTAGAGGGAGAAAGGTCCCCTTGGGAGTGGGTGCAAAGGCGGCGGCCAGCAGAGCTGAGCTGGGAGGACAGGCACCTGGAGAGAGAGGAAGGCTGCGGTAAGCAGCTCTCCACTTTCCGCAGTTCTGGAAAGATGGCTGCTGGAGTCCACAGGTCAGGTTCACTGGCCCCTGGTGTTTTTCTCACGCAAAGTATTAGCACCCTGAGCCTCGGTTTTCTCAGTGGAAACCCCAGGATAATAACAGGGCTCTGGGTAGTAATTAATTACCCATTGAATTAATTGAATGGTTCTTTATGTATTAATAAATAAATACTTTATGTATTATTTATAGGGCACCATTCTTGTATCATTTGCTATTTACTATTGGTAACAGATTGCTATCAGCATCAATAGTGAAACTGTAAGTACACCATGACTAAGGCCGAGGGTAAGGCACAGGTTAAAGGCTCCCACAAACCCAGTGGGGAGTCACTGCACGGGGTGGGGGGCTCCTAGCTTCCAGGCCCCATTCTGCACGACCCCAGTCAGCTGTGCTTCTCAACGCATCAACGGTTATTAGAAACAAAAAAGAGCGGACTCTCACGTGGGTGCCGGCTGTCCCGTCCCCCCACTGCCCGGCCAAGCTCCTGCCTTCCTGTGCTGCCCAGGAGTGTCCTGGCCCTGGCAGCTGACTGCTCACCCTTCCTCTTTAAACACTCATCCCTCCCTGCTGACCACAGCCGCTCCAGTCCCCTCTTGCGTGTGCCCTGTGGGTTCCTCAATCTCTGTTTCCAGCCTAGGGGCTGTCCTGAGTTCAGGACTCTGCATATGGACCTCATAGTTCATCCCAATATCTAAAAACTGTGAGCCGTTGCACAACACTCTGATAAGAAAAAGTGGGGATCTGGCCACGCGGAGCCCTCCCTCCCTGGGAGCAACAGAGGGACAGGGAGTGGTAAGCAGCTGTCCACTCCCCTCATTTAAGCCCGCAGTGGCCCCCAAACCCAAGTTTAAGAGCCCTCCCTTGAGCCGCAGAAGCCTGGATTTCAGTCTCTTGTCTATGCTGACCCATCCCAAATGGATGTTCCCATCCACACCTCCTCTGAGCTCTGCTGAGGACTAATCCAAGTCCTACTGCGCACCTCTTGGGTATCACAAACCTAGTGCTTTTGAGGCCAGACCTGTGCTTTTGGAACCTCTATTCCCAAATAATAAAAAAAAACCTCATCAAAACACACTTAGCAAAATAATTCAGACACACAATGACCAATTCTGTATGATTCCACTCATATGAGACAACTGGACAGGCAGAAAGGAGGACCTGGGTGCCGGGCTCACGGAGGGGGGTGGGGAGCTATTCTTCGGAGGCGACAGAGTGTCAGCTGGGAACCACTGACTGGTTCTGGAGATGGACCGTGGTGACGGCTGAATAACAATGAGAATGTGCTTAATGCCACTAACATCTACTCCTCAAGTTAAATGCTCTATTTTGTTATGTATACTTTGTGAGCATTAAGAAAATAAAAAATTTTAAATAAAAAAAAAAAAAGAATTACAAGTCGTCCTTGGCTCACCCCTTCCTTCCCACTGTCCAGACCCTGAACAAACGCCACCGCACAGGTGGACACTTTGAATCGGATCAGACCTGATGCTCCTCCACGGCGGCAACGCAACAACCTCCCTAACTCTTTGCAACCCACTGTCCACTTCGTGGGAAGAGGAGCTCAGGAGTCACACCAAAACCTCCAGCACCTGCCCAGTACTGGGGGGACCACAGGCAACGCCTTCCCACTCTCCTGACTCCTCTCTGCCATCTAGCACCATTCATCCTAAGGTTTGCTTTCATTTCCTTGTCCACGTCCAGCACTTCCTGCCCCAGGACCTTTGCACCTACCCTTACTCTGACCTGTTCTTCCACCTACCACTTCCTTCTCTCCCACTTCTAAGCTCCTCCCCCTACATTTGCTCCTCCCACCATGTCAGAGGAAGGGGAGGTAGGTGTGGCCTCCAGGCCCCAGGAAAATAGACCTTGCAGTTCTGGAAAGATGGCTGCTGGAGTCCACAGGTCAGGTTCACTGGTCCCTGGTGTTTTTCTCACGCAAAGTATTAGCACCCTGAGCCTCGGTTTTCTCAGTGGAAACCCCAGGATAATAACAGGGCTCTGAGTAGTAATTAATTACCCATTTATTAATAAATACTTTATGTATTATTTATAGGGCACCATTCTTGTATCATTTGCTATTTACTATTGGTCACAGATTGCTATCAGCATCAATAGTGAAATTGTAAGTACACCATGACTAAGGCCGAGGGTAAGGCACAGGTTAAATGTGCCCTCCAGACTGAAGGCACTTTATTTTCACACGAATACCAACCAGCAAGGGGTGGGTAGAGAACAGTCTGTCATTTTTCTCCAGGGACTGAAACAGCCCTGTGGGGAGGGGTGCCTCCTGGGTGGGTTTTTGCAGGAGACTCTCAACCCATCTCTGAGCCTGAGGGTCTGGGCCCTGCCACCTGGTCTGACCATTCCCAAGCCAGGAATGCAGGGCTGGGAGGGGCAGGTGTCCTCCCACCTGGGGCAGGCTTGCTGGGTCTGTGGGGTTCCTGTTGGCGATTCGTGCCCCCACTCCGAAGCACTGATAATCATTTTGACAGGACAACTGCTATTTATATCTTTTACATCTGATGGTTCAAAATGCTGTGGGTCTCCCTTATTAAAATAAAAATTTAGCCCTGGCTGGTGTAGCTCAGGGGATGGAGTGCTGGACTATGAAGCAAAGGGTTGCCAGTTCAATTCTCAGTCAAGGCACATGCCTGGCTTGCAGGCTAGGTTCCCAGTTGGGGGTGCACGAGAGACAACCACACACTGATGTTTCTCTCTTTCGCCCTCTCCCCCTCTAAAAATAAATAAATAAACTCTTTTAAAAATAAATAAATAAAATTTAACAAAACACTATGAGGAACCTTGGAATCTGAAGTGATTACTGTTACTACCTAACACTAGACAAGAATTTGTTTCTCCTCAGGATGCACTTGGCAAGTTCTGTTCTTGCTGGAAAACTGGGGCTGGGTGTTGGAAAATGAAGACACACACATATGGCGACAACATGACCTCTGGACTGGATCCAGGCGTGTGTCACAAAGGACAACGTCCCCACGGAGCCCACTTCCCCCTGTTCCTTTCTCCTTCCTCTCCTCCACTTTACGGTCCAGGAGGTGAAGACCAGAGACACAGACTGTGTCATCCAAGCTCCTACAACCGTTTACCAGATCTGGGTCTGGAGCCCCGGTGACCCGGCCATATTCCCAGATACTGGAGCCATTGGGGGGCTTGCTTTCCACCCAGCCCTGCATATACGATGGTAGCAGCTCACGTGCATAGCGTGACCTGTCCCCAGCACCCACATTCCCAAGACCAGTCGGGGCAGGACTTCTCTTACATCTACCCGTGGGCTCCAATGTCAAGTCTGGCACTGGCCCATGGACTCAGGTCTTGCCCACCGGGAATGGATTTGAGATCCAATGCACCCAGTGGTACGTGCACATCCTGCTGTGGTGTCAGGTAAGGGTGATGTTCGGGCTGGAGGTTTGCCCACACTTGCCACACTCATGGGGCCCCTCTGCGCCGTGGATCCTCGGGTGGAGGGTGAGTGAGAAGTTCCTGACAAAGGCCTTGCCGAACCCGCAGGGTGTCTTGCCGATGTGGTCTACCTGGTGCACTGCCAGGGACAAGAGCCTTGCCAAGTGCATCAGGCAGATGGAGCACTCACAGGACTTCTCCCGGGTGTGCAAGCGCTGTGGGATACTGAGGTACAATGGCCACTTGAACTGCTTCCCACACACGGTGCACGAGGAGGGCTTCTCCCCGGTGAGGATTCGCTGATGCTTCCTCGGTGACAGCTTATATCTGAAAGCTGTGCCGCAGTCCCCACACACGTAGGGCTTCTCTTCTCTGCAAAGCTTGGAGGGAGGACAGTAGCTTGAAGTACCTGAGTTCTTCACACGCAAACAGGTGCACCCCCGGTCCTCTTGGTCCTTCTCATCTTGGAGGGGCCGGCATAGTGCTTCGGTGCACAAATACCTTAAATCCATGACATTCATGGACTAATGTCTGGGACATGTCAAACCGCCCCAGACAAGTTCCTGGGCTCCCCTGTGGCCACCCTACCCAGTCACGCTGTGTCCCTGCTCCTTCACAGACACAAACCCAGGCACCATTCTTTGTGGGTCCTTCCACCGCAGCAACAGATGGTGTGTATTTCTAAATGTCCTCCTGTGGGTCCAGTTCTCTCATGTCAGGTCTAGTCTCCAAGTCTGAGAAGAGGGCGAAAGAGATGACAACACACACGCAGTTAACAGAGCTGGGCCCTGGCTGGTGTAGCTCAGTGGATTGAGCACGGGCCTGTGAACCAAAAGGTCACAGTTCGATTCCCAGTCAGGGCACATGCGAGACCAGTTCCCAGCATGGCACGCATGAGAAGCAACCATACATTGATATTTCTCTCCCTCTTCCCTTCTAAAGAGAAATAAATAAAAATTAAACAAACAAACAAACAAAAAACAAAGCTGGGAGGGAGGACTTTCCCAAGACACGCCAACTCACAGTCTCAGAACAGGGGACAAACTATGGTGGGACAGACAGAAAGGAAAGCAGTGAACTGACACAGTGAAGTGTAGGGACGTGAGCACGGACAGAAAGGTGCCCTGGGAGCGGGTGCAGAGGCGGCCAGGGGAGCTCAGGGCTGGGCGGACGGACGACAGCAGAGAATCGGGAGGAAGGAAGGTGGGCTTGGAGGAGCAGATCAAAGGCTTTCACAAACTCGGTGAGGATTCGCAGCACATGGCCTCTCGCTTTCAGGCCCCCACCCTGGGCACCCCACCTGTGCTTCTCAAAGGGATGTCTTTTATCAAAAACAATCAAGTAGGAGTTGAGTCTCCTGTGGATGCTACTTGTCCTTTGTGTCCCCACCCCCAGCCGAGCTCCCGCCTTCCTACGCTGCCCAGAGCAGCCCGGCCCGACAGCCGGGTCCTGACCCTTCCTCTTCGCACACCTGTCCCTCTCTGCTGACCACAGCCGCTCCAATTCCCTCTCGCATGTGTCCTGTGGATTCCTCAAGTTCTGTTTCCAGCCTCGGGGCTGTCCTGACTTCTAGACTCTGCACACGGACCTCATGGTTCATGCCAACATTAAAAACTGTGAGATCTTACACAAAAATCTCATTACAAAATTGAAGATGCTGCCACACGGAGCCCTTCTTCTTAAGAGGCAACAACAAAAAAGCAGGATTGATAAGCAGTTGCTCTCCTTCCCTCATTTAAGTTCCAACCGAGCCTAGCCCTAAGTTGGAGACCCCTCTGCTGAGTCACGAGAGTCCTATTTTTGTCTCTTCTCTATGCTGACACCTCCGGCATAGATGCCCCTGCCCAGGCCCCCCCACCCCAAGCTCTGCCAAGGAATAACCCAAGGCCTTGTGCACCCCTCTTGGGTACCATAAACCTAACGCATTTGATGTGAGTCTGTGATTTCAGAATTCTCTCCCAAATGATAAAAAGGAAGGCTCATCAAGAGATTTAGCCAAATTATTCAGACACACAATGACTGATACTGTATGATTCCACTCATATGAAGCAATTAGAATCATCGAAATGGTAGAGAGAGAAAGTAGGACACGGGTGCACAGGCTTGTGGAGGGGGGTGAGTAGGTGTTGTTTGGAGGGGACAGATTGTCAGTTGGGGACAATTAAAAGAGGTCTGGCAATGGATGGTGGTGATGGCTGACCAACAGTGTGAATGTACTTCATGCCACTCAACTGTACACCTAAAAAGAGTTAAATGGTCAATTTTAGGTTGTATATATTTTGCAACAATAATTTTTTTTTATTAAAAAAGATCTAGCCCTGGCTGGTGTAGCTCAGTGGATTGAGCGCGGGCCTGGGAATCAAGCAATTGTGGTTCGATTCCCAGTCAGGGCACATGCCTGGGTTGCAGGCCAGTTCCCGGCAGGGGACGCATGAGAGGCAACCATCATTGATATTTCCCTCCCTTTTTCCTTCCCTTCCCCTCTAAAGATAAATAAATTAAAAGAAAAAGATCTAGTAGTCATCCTTGACTCACCGTTTCCCTCCCACTGTCCAGACTGTTAAGAAATGCCACTGCACAGGAGAACAGCTTGAACTGGACCAGACCGACGCACCACCACTGCTGCCAACACAGCAGCCTCCCCCTCTCTCTGCAACCCACGGTCCACTCCGTGGGAAGAGGAGCTCAGAGACGGACCAAACCCTCCAGCACCCTCCCACTTCCCAGGGGACCACAGGCAACGCCTTCCCACGCTCCCGACTCCTCTGTACCATCCAGCCCCACTCGTCCTTGTTTCCCTTTGATTTCCTTCTCCATGCCCAGTGCTTCCTGCCTCAGGGCCCTTGCACCTGCCTTTCCTCCCCCGTCCCATGGGCGCTCATCCCTGAGCCTCAGTGAAGCTTTGTCCCCCACAGGGAGGCCTTCTCTGTCCACCCCACTGTGGAGAGGAAGCTCCGCCTGCCACTCTCTCGCCTGCGTCACTGTGAGTGACCATTACAGTGCTCGTCCTCCTTCTACGCACTGCCAGCTCCCGCAGTGCGAGGGGAGCTCCGTGAAGGCAGGAGCCTTGCTGGTCCGCAGCTCACAGTTTTTGGCACACGGAAGGCACCTGATAAACTTCATGGAGTGTCGGCCACATGCTGGCACGGTACAAAGTAGCCCTCACAGCACGTGAGTAGGTGCTGCTAAGATTACACCCATTTTACAGATGGGGAAACCTAGGCTCTGAGAATGCAGCCACACCCTCGAGGTCACCCAGCACACTCCATCATGTGGTCCAATCCCTGAGTCACTATCTGGACACGTGTCACCTTCCCAGCCGAGAGGAAAGGATTTTACAAGTATCTCACACTGGAGAATGATCCTGATTTCCTCACCCTGAGGCGCGGAGGTGATGCCACAGAAGGTGGTGGCCTGGGACATGGTGGCCTGGGTAATGTCCCAGAGGGTGGAGGGAATGAGGGTGATAGTGGGTGTGTTTGGAGCCCATGGGTCTCAGACATGCTGGGGACATAACAGGCCAGTGAATTCAGAGATTGGACGGAGAAGAATTGCGTTTGTGAATATGGTCAGAAGCAAATCCTCAAAGAAAGTAATTCATAAGCTAGACTTCATCAAATTACAAACATCTTCTCATCAACAAATGATGTGGGGGCCCTGGCTGCGGTGGCTCAGTGGATTGAATGCCGACCTGTGAACCGAAGGGTCACCGGTTGGATTCCTGGTTGGGGTGTTTGCCTGCGTTGGGGTCTCCAGTTGAGGGCGCACAAGAGGCAACCACACATTGGTGTTTCTCTCCCCCTTTCTCCGTTCCTTCCCCATTCTCTAAAAATAAATAAATAAAATATTTTAAAAATTTTAGAGGGGAAGGGAAGGAGAGAAATATCAATGTACGGTTGCCTCTCGTGTGTCCCCTGCTGAGAAATGGCCTGCACCCCAGGCATGTGCCCTGACTGGGAATCGAACCGCGGTTGTTTGGTTCTCAGGCCCGCACTCAATCCACTGAGCTATACCAGCCAGCGCTAAATAAACAAAATCTTTAAAAACAAAAACAAAAACTGGAAAAACACACAAATGGTGCTGGGGCACCTGGATATCCACATTCAAAAGAGCGACGATATGTGATGATGGAAGGTGATGTGACTTTGGGTGGCGGGCACACCACGTAACATACAGATCACTTACCCTAAAAATGTACACTTGAAATGTATGTGATCCTGCTAGCCAATGTCACCACAATCAATTTTACTTAAAAAAAAAAAGTGATGGTAGATCCTTTTTACCTCATTCACAACAATGAACTCAAATTAGACCAAAGATACAAATAAAGAGGTAAAATTCTAAAACTTGTAGAAGAAGCGGGAGTAAATCCTCGTGGCCTTGGTTTAGGCAACAGTCCCTCAGATTTAACACCTAAAGCACAAGTGACAACAACATAAATAGGTTGGACCCCATCAACACTAAAAACGTTTGTGTTCCAAATGATGCCATCGAGGAACAGAGTACGCACAGAATGGGAGAAACAGTTCTAAAGCGCATGCCTCATAAAGGTCTTAGAGCAAGAATTAACAACAAAAGAATATGTAAAAAATTTTCAGAATGAATAATAAGGAAGCAAAGAACCTACTAAGTAAAGACGCAAAAGACTTGAACCAGACACTCCACCAGAGAGAATATACAGACGGGAAACAAGCACCTGGAAGGCTTCTCAGTATCAGTCCCGCACTGGGCGAGATTGGCTGCAGCGACAGACTGAGCGTGTTCAGTTCTGACAAACGCACAAAGCAATTCCCAGCGCGTGCTGGGAGATATTAAGAAACAAGATGACTGTTTTGAAAAAAGAAGTTTGGCAGTTTCAAAAAGTAAAATAGGCACCTAGGTATGACCCAACCACCCTCCACAGAAAGGACAGATTGTGTCTCTACAGAAAAATATCCAGAACTGGAATCCACCATCAAGTGAATGAATAAACCATCAAGTGAATGAATAAACACATCGTGGTCTCTCCATGAAGTAGAATATTACTCAGCAATAAAAAGAAGTAAACTACTGACCTGGCCAAAGGGCTCAGGTGATTGGAACTATGTCCCCAGCACGAAAAGTTTGCAGGTTCGGTCCCATCAAGTTCTGCCGTATGGGAGGTAACCTGATCCATGTTTCTCTCTCCCTCTCAAATGCATAAATGTATCCTCAGGTGAGGATTAAAAAGAAAAACAGCCCTGGCTGGTGTGGCTCAGTGGACTGAGCGCAGGCCTGCAAACTAAAAGGTTGCTGGTTTGGTTCCCAGTCACGGCACATGCCTGGGATGGGGGCCAGGTCCCCAGTGCGGGGTGTACAAGAGCCAACCACATGTTGATGTTTCTCTCCCTCTTAAAAAAAGTTTTTTAAAGAAAAACAAAATAATGAAGGGAACTATTGATATATACGGACAATATGGGTAAACCTCAAAAACATGCCACTGCCCCGGGTGCTGTGGCTCCAGCAGGTTCAGCACCACCCTGCAAACCAGAAGGTCAGCAGTTTGGTTCCCAGTCAGGGCACAGGCCTGGGCTGCAGACCGGGGCACCGGTTGTGGGTGTGCGAGGGCCAGATGGGCAATGTTTCTCTCCCTCCCTTTCCCTCTAAAACTAAGTGAATAAAATCGTAAATAAAAACCAATAATGCCGCTTGTAAGAAGTCAGATTAAAAACAGGGTATGTGCTATATGATTATACATACGTAAAATTCTAGAATAGGCAATCTAAACCACAGTGGTCACCAGGGGGACGGAGGGTGGACGAGACGGAAGGAAAACTTTTTGGGCTGCCCTGGCTGGTGTAGCTCAGTGGATTGAGCGCGGGCCTGCGAACCAGACAATCGCGGTTCGATTCCCAGTCAGGGCACATGCCAGGGTTGCAGGCAGGTTCCCTGCAGGCCAGTTCCCAGCAGGGGACGCACGAAAGGCAACCATACATTGATGTTTCTCTCCCTCTCTCCTTCCCTTCCCCTCTAAAGATAAATAAATAAAATCGTTAAAAAAAAAAAGAATGGCAGATGCTGAGAATGCTGTGTGTTCCCACTTATACAAAAAAGTGAGGGAAGAAAGTGAATCCAAATAAAAACCACAATCCTCTAAAAAAAAAAAGAAAACTTTTTGGGCTAATGGACCTGCCTGCATCGTGACAATGATTTCCCGGGTGCATATAAATATCAAAATGCGCCAGATTGTTTGCATTAACTACGTGCAGTTAATTGGAGGTCAGTTAAACCTCCACAAAAGCTATGAATGAAATGGGACCGTACACTAATTCTGAGAGTTAGCATTTTTCCTGAACAACGTTCTCCAGGGAAGTCTCTCTGTGCCGGTGACTACAAAGGGCGCTCATCTTTCCAGTGCGCTGTGATCTCCATCAGACAGCTCCACCCTGATTGGTGTGGTCAGTCTCATAGGTGGGCAGCTAGGGTATTTCTTTTGCTTTTTCTCCCTATGACAAATGCTGCACACCCACAAAAAAAGTTTTAAGATTTGTATTCTAGAAATGGAATCATTTAAAATTTGGCTGATGACACCAAACTGTCTTCCAAAAGTTTTCCCCACTTCGTGCTCCTAAAATGAAGAGCCCCTTTCCCTGAACTCACGTAATACTGGATGCTGTTACTTTTTTTAATGCCTCGCGTGTCAGGATGTGCTTAGAAAGGGAGAAAGGTGGGGGAGGTGGAGAGGGGGGTGGATAGAGAAAGAAAAAGAGAGGAACACTAATGAGAGAGAATCATCGATCGGTGACCTCTGGTATGTGCTGCGCCCTGGGATCAAACTCACAACCTAGGTATGTACATGGTCAGGGAACCGATCCTGCAACCTCCTGGTGTACAAGACAAAGCTCCAACTAACTGAGCCCCACATGGCCAGGACTATTATTTTTCACCTGTGTACCTCATGGGCAAGAAACGTATTCCTGTGACTCAATTTGTACTTCTGTGATGATTAGCAAGGCTTAAAAATCTTTTATGAAGTGTAACTCCATGCATTCTCTATATATGAATTACATGCTCTTAAGCTTGTACCATCTCTCTTTCATTCCGTCTTTTTCTCATTTATTCCTACAAGCTCTTTGTATATTTACAATCCTCTGACTGATGTACATATGGTAAATGCTGTTCCCAGCTTCATCACCTATGAAGTTTATTTTTTAAGTTTGAGTAATTTGAAGTTCCTACTTAGTCAGATCTGTCCATCTTTTTTATTTCTGTGCCATCCTGAAGTGACAGGAAGATGATAAATAATGAGGCAAAGCTGCCTCCTTACCCAGTGACACCAGGTTCCAGTAGTTCTCCATCATCACGTCCCTGTACAGGTCCTTCTGCGCGGGCCTCAGCTGCTGCCACTCCTCCTGGGTGAAGTCCACAATCACATCCCTGAACGTCACCGACTCCTGTAAGAGGAAGGGCACACCACTCATCACAGGGCCCTCTTCACAGAGGTCAAGAGCCATGGCCAGAAGGGCCGAGAGGATCAGGGAAGAGACACAGTATGTGCCTGACGTAGCATCAACATGGTGCAGAGCTCTGAAGGGCCTGACCACTCAGTGTCCTTGGTGCCTAAGTCAATGGATGGTCCTTGGAGGAACAAATAAACTATGGGGCTGTTTACCAGGAAGACAAACAACCCAACTGAAACATGGGCTAAGGGCCTGAGTGGACACTTCTGGAAGAGTATGTATCTGTCGTGGACCAAGAAGTATGATGCACCCTCTGCTAGTGGAGTGCCACCTGCTGGCCAATCTCTCTGTGGTCCGAGTTTCTGCCAGGGACTCCGGGCTCACCCTGGCCTCCTGCGTCTTGGGACCACCACCTCGTGATAAGGGAGCAGTGCGAGGTGGTCAGTGGTTCACAGTCTGGGCTGGGGAACCTGTGATGAAATTCTGGCTCTGTTCCACATTCCCAGCTGTGCTTCCTCAGATAATTGTCTTAACCTTTCTGAGCCTGTTTGTTCACTGGACCTCCTAGTAACAAAGCCCCACTATGTAGCTGTTACGAGGTTAAATGAGGTCATGCGTGGGTGATTCCACCGTGTGGTATAGCTGTGGGAAAGCTCTCAGAAATGGCAGCTCTTATCATGTGATTAATTGGACGTTTCATAGATCTCTTCCAGATGCCTCTTGTCATTAACACAAATCTTACGTTATTATTATTTGATTCCTTGCCTGACTCATCCTTTGGGAAATCCAAGCTAATAATTTCTTTTAAAATCACTTTCTGAATATATGTTTGTTGATTTTTGGTAAAGATTTTATTTATTTATCTTTAGAGGGGAAGGGAAGGAAAAAGGGAGAGAAATATCAATGTATGGTTGCCTCTCATGCGTCCCCCGCTGGAAACTGGCCTGCAACCCAGGCATGTGCCCTGACTGGGAATTCAACTGTGATACTCTAATTTGCAGGCCCGCGCTCAATCCACTGAGCTACACCAGCCAGGGCTGTTTGTTGATTTGAGAAAGAGAACGAGGCAGAGAGAGAAACATCAATCGGCAGCCTCCCGAATGTGCCCTGACCTGAGGATGGAATCTGCAGCCTTTTCGTACACAGGGCGATGCTCCATCAAACTGAGCCACATGGCCAGGGCAATAATTTTTTTTGAAAAAACACTTTATTGAGGTATGATTGCCATACTCACATGACTGAGGCAGCTCATTCCAGGGCTCCCTCTGTTTTGGATTCTTGTCTAATGGCACAAACGACTTCACCACAAGAAAAACCTCACCCACTTCCAAAGAGGTGAAATCAGGATGTTTTGTTTTAACCCTCCCCTGAGGGTATATTTATTGATTTAAGAGGAAGAGCAAGGCAGAGTCAGAGACAGAGACATTGATGTGTTTGCCTCATGCACGTGCCCAGACCGGGACTGAACCTGCAACCTGTTGGTGTGTGGGGACAATGCTATAACCAACGGAGCCACCCAGCCAGGGCAGGCTGTGTTTTTAGAAAAAAATAGAATGTAATTACAGTAAAAGAGATTAAGGAAAATAAAAATTGAACTCCAAAATGCCAAGCACACTGAAATGACAATTGCCAGGAAATCCTAAGGAATGTTGGTGAAGGAGGAAACCAAGGCAACCATCACAGAGAAGGTAACAGTGGAGATACCGTGGTGTAGCTGTGTTGGAAAACGGTCAGATCGTTTCTTAAACGGTTAAATATACTGTTACCAAAGGACCCGCACTTTCTGCTACTGCTCCCAAGAGAAATGAGAATCTCAAACAAAAAAAACTGTCCATGAATGTTCACAGCAGCATTGCTAATAACAACCCCAAAGTGATAGCAACCCAAATGTATACCACATGGTGCACCTGTACAATGGAATAGTAAACAGTAATGCAAAAGCACATCTGCCACAACACAGATGAACACCCAACGCATAGAGCTCAGTGGAAGCAGCCAGTGATGAAAAAAAAAAACCACATATCATCTGATTCCATGTATAAGAAATGTCCAGCCCCAGCCAGGTGACTCGGCTGCTTCCAGTGTTGTCTGTACAACAGGAGGTTGTGGGTGCAGGTCCCCGGCTGGGGCATGTATGGGAGGCAACCCATCGATGCTTCTCTCACACATGGGTCTTTCCCTTCCTCTCTTTCCACCTCCCTTCCTTCTGTTTAAAAATAAATAAAATCTTAGGGGGAAAAAAAAAAAGCCCTGGCTGGTGTAGCTCAGTGGATTGAGCATGGGCCTATGAACCGAAAGGTTGCTTGTTCGATTCCCAGTCACGGGGCATGAGAGAGGCAACCACACGTTGACATCTCTTTCCTTCTCCTTCCTTTCCCTTCTCTCTATAAATAAATAAATAAATAAATAAATAAATAAATAAATAAATATCATACAAAAAGCAGGGGAAAGATTTATGCCTAGTCCTGGCTGGGTGGTTCAGTTGGTTGGAACACTGTCCTCCTGTACACCAAAAGGTTGCAGGTTCAATCCCAGGGCTGGGACACATGCTGGAGGCAACCAATCTATTTTTCTCTCTCACACCTTTGTTTCTCTTTCTCTCTCTCTCTCGTCCCCTTCCTATAAAACTCCAATGAACATATCCACTGGTGAGGTGAAATAAAAAAGATATCATTATGCCCAGACACACACACACACACAATTCATTGATCTGAGATAGATGTCATTCCACTTAACGATAAATTCACTGGCTGCTTCTTAAATGTCCCCTGATCACAAATTGAACCTGTAACCTTGGCATATCAAGATGATGCTCTATCACACTGAGCTATGTGACCTGCGTCATGTAAATATTTATTATTATAAAGTATTTCTTGCATAAGAGGAAATACAGAGAAAAATACCACAAACAGCCAACCACTGAAACATCATAAGAACATCACGGCAAGAGCTGGGGACAGGCACAGGCCCTCTGTACAGACGCAGCCCCCTCCCACGCCCTGCGCATTCAGTCTCCCCTGCCTACTTCTGAGCTCCAGCACCTCCTTCCCTGGGCCTCTGTCACACTAGTTGGAATATGTTTATACTGTCACTTCCAGGTGCCCACCGGTGTCTCCTGAGAGCCCCTAAAGTAGGACAGGTCACTCGTGAGCTATCCTCTCCCCTGTGGTTGACAAACACCAGTGTCAGAACAGTAATGTCCACCCTCAGGGTAGACACAACCCCAAGTAGACTGGGCCAGGGACCTGGGCGCTGAGAGGGTTTGGGGGGGTCAGAGGGTCATCCCTGCCCAAAAGGCTGACCCACAGGAAAGAGGTGCAAGAGGGTGACATGACTCACCAGGGCCTTCTTGGTCAGTGGCTGGGGGAACATCCTTCCAGTGCCCATGGTGACCAGGGGGCGGGCAGGCTGTGGGTAGGGAAAGAGAAAGGCACAGTGAGAGATCAGGCAGAGCCCCACCTCACATTGCAGATGGTCACAGACACACCCACTAGGAGACACAGGCAGACAGGAACATGCACACACATTAATAATGGACACACGCAGGGGGCAGGGGAATCTGTGGCATCCAAGACACTCTACAAATATCTATGATTTAATCCTCATGACACTTTATATGGGGGGGGCTACTTCTACCCACCCTATTTCACAGATGAGGACACAGGGCCAAAGACCTAAGCCACACGCCCAAGAAGACAGAGCCGCAATTGGTGTTAGAATGACTAGGTCTGGGTCCCCAGGCTTGGTGGACATCTGACATCCACATAGGGACACGCCCCCAACACACAGGCATGTGCACACGGCCAGTCCCACAGCCTGGAGGAAGCAACGGGACCATCCGCCTCACTCTGCTTCTGACTACTGGCCCCAGACCCCAGAAGACACCCCAACCCCGAATCTACCCTCTGAGCCTCCTCCAGACCTCCTGGCGTTACTGTGAGACTCAATGAGCAGGTCCACGTGGAGATCCTGGAGCAGTGGGGCACACAGTAACGACTCGGTCCAACCCTGTCCTGGTGGTTGACTTGGTTGGAGCATTATGTTGAACACAAAAGGCTGGGTTCAGTCCCTGTTCGTGGACCAGGCCTACGTGGCAGGTTTCATCCCCCCATCCCTGGATGGGGTGCTAGTGGGAGGCAACCGATTAATATTTTTCTTTCTCTTCTCTCTCTCTCAAATTAATAAACAAGGCTTCCAGTCAAGATGGTGACGTAGGCAGACATGGCTTGCCTCTTTGCACAACCACATCAAAATCACAACTAAAATATAGAACAACCATCACTCGGTAATGTCAGAAATTGAGTTGAATGGAAATTTGACAACTATGAAATTGAATTAAATGGAAGTCTGACAACTACGGAATTCAAGAAACCACATTCATCCAGGCTGGTAGGAGGGGCACAGACGCAGAACCCGCTGGCCCCATACCCGTGTGGATAAAAATTTGGGAGGGATTATCTCAGGAGCATGGAGTCCCAGACCCGTACCAGGCCCTCCAGCCCAGGATTCCAATGCCAGGAAGTTAAGTCCCCACAACTTCTGGCTGAGAAAACCAGTAGTGATTGAGTCAGTGGAGGAGGCTGCTGGAGCCCTAAACACTTCTCTTGGGGAACCCACACACCTACTCACCTACTCAGACTTGCTCCCACTGAGCTCCAGCACTGGGGTAGCAGCTTGAAAGGCACCAGTGGTGTACACAGAGAGACTGAAGTGTCTGGCATCAGGGTGAGTAAAAGCCACTGTCCCTTTGCTGAGCCCTCCCTCCAACAGAGCTGGTAGACTGGTGCCATATCTGAGACTCCAGGAACCGGGCTAACACTGTGTGACCCTCCTTTGAGATCCACAGAGGCTCCACCCCACTGAATTCACGGGATCACCTAAGCTGCTTTTCCATAAGAATGGCTGATATTGGCTCCTAAATCCTATCAAATAAGCAACAGCTGGCTTCAGTGAGCCCTAGCCACAGCCAGATTAGAGTCTCGGCTTGGTTTCACCTGGGAATCTCCAAGCCCAGCAAAAGTAGCAGCTATCTCAAGACTGCTTTACAGCTCAGGCAGGGCTGATCCAAGCAAAATACATGTAGGGGCTGACCTTGGTCTGCACCACCCTGGAAACCCAAAGACCAGTACACGCAGTGGACAGCTACAGACCACGTTGGAGCACCACCACCCTGCCCCTGCACAGCTGACCCTCCACAGAGGGCGGAGGTTTGTGGTCAGTGGTCACAGCCAGTCCTCGCAGCTGACTAGCCTGGCTAAATCCCTCCCATTGATCTGCCAACAGCAACCAAGACTCAACTACAAGAGGAGGGTGTACTCAGCCCACATGAAGGGCACACCTAGATTACCCAGTTTGGATGACAGGGGAGGCTGTGTCCCTGGGTCCTACAGGACACCTATTACATTAGGCCACATACCAAGACAAGTCAAAGCCACTCTACCTAATGCACAGGAACAAACACAGGGAGGCTGCCAAAATAAGGGGACAAAGAAACAGGACCTAAATGAAAGAACAGATCAAAACTCCAGAAAAAGAACTAAACAAAATGGAGATAAGCAATCTATCAGATGCAGAGTTCAAAACACTGGTTAGAAGGATGCTCAAGGAACTTAGTGAGGGCTTCAGCAGCATAAAAAAGATCCAGTCAGAAATTAAGGATTCACACATTGAAATAAAGAGCAATTTACAGGGAAACAATAGTAGAATGGATGAAGCTGATGATCAAATCAATGATTTGGAACATAAGAAAGCAAAAAACCACCATGCAGAACAACCAGAAGAAAAAAGAATCACAAAAAATGAGGATAGTGTAAGCAGCCTATGGGACAACTTTAAGAGGGCCAACATTCACCTCATAGGAGTGCCAGAAGGAGAAGAGAAAGATCTGGAAATTGGAAATCTATCTGAAAAAATAGTGAAAGAAAACTTCCCTGGCCCTGGCTGGTGTGGCTCAATAGATTGAGTGCTGGCCTGCAAATCAAAGGGTTGCCCGTTCGATTCTCAATCTAGGGCACATGCCTGTGTTGCAGGCTGGGTCCCCAGAAGGGAACATGCAAGAAGCAACCACACAGTGATGTTTCTCTCCCTCTTTCTCCCTCCCTTCCCTTACCTAAAAATAAATAAATAAAATCTAAAAAAGAAGAAGAAAGGAAGAAAGAAAACTTCCCTGATTTGGTGAAAGAAGTAGACATGCTAGTCCTGGAAGCACAGAGAGTTCCAATTATGATGGATGCAAAGAGGCCCACTCCGAGACACATCATAATCAAAATGCCAAAGAGAGAATCTTAAAAGCAGCAAGAGAAAAGCAGTTAGTTACCAGATTGCCAGATGGGAGGGAGGAGGGGGAGAAGAGGTGAAGAGGTGAAGGATTAAGAAGTATAAATCAGTATACAGCCCTGGCTGATGTAGCTCAGTGGATTGAGCACAGGCCTGTGAAGCAAAGAGTCGCTGGTTCGATTCCCAGTCAGGGCACATGCCTGGGTTGTAGGCCAGGTCCTCAGTAGGGGACACATGAGAGGCAACCACAAATTTCTCTCCCACTGTTTCTCCTTCCCTTCCCCTCTCTCTAAAAATAAATAAATAAAATATTTTTAAAAAGAAGTATAAATAGGTAATACAGAATAGCCAAGGGGATGTATAGTATAGGAAATGGAGAAGCTAAAGAATTTATATGCATGACCCACAGACATAAACAATGGTGTGAGGATTGCTTGAGGGAGTAGAGAGTCCTGGATGGAGAGGGGCAACAGGGGAAAAAATCAGGACAACTGTAGAAGCATAATCAATATAATACAATTTAAAAAAATAAAATAAAGATATAAACAATGTTAATTGTACTGCTGTTCCTGGAAACAAACATCAACAAATAAATCCTGGGTAAGCAGACCGAGGGCTGGGACTTCATTCTAAACTTTGAAGTTGCCACCAGGAAGCAGGAGTTATGTCCCTGGGTGCAGTGACTTCATGATTTCTTTAAACAGAATTTAATTTTCAGAAATATTCTTTCTGGACTTGTGTCTGACTCCTATCCCTGCACGGTGAGGGCAGCAACATGGGTTCCTTTTGCCAGATGTGGAAGGCACCAGAGTCCACTACCCAGAAAGCACAGTGGGCCCAGGGCACTTGACACCTGTACAGGACCTTGAAAGTATCATCATTTCTTCCAAAATTATAAGAGAAAAAGTGAATCTAATCCAGCCCAGACTATATTTGTCCGTATAGCAATGCAATCATAACTTTAACTTCTATCTCATTTAAAAGGAGGTCCTGAAGGTACAGTGGGCTGAAAGTGACCTGTGCATGGCCTGGTGACCTCTGAACCCAGTGTGGCTTCAGATCTGTGACTGCAGAGCCAGGGGTGGCAGCTGCTCCTGCTCCTCCTCCTCCAAGCTTTCTAGCATTTCCTGCCGTCCATTGTTTCTAAGGGAAACAAGGATTTGCCATCTGTGGGTTACTGTGGAGGCTCTTGAACCCGGTTGCCTGAGTATGGAGCTGTGTGAGCCACTTAAAGTTTCGGAGCCTCAGTCTCCCCATCTGCAAAATGGGAATGATGAGGGTCCCTACCTCAGACTTACTGGGAGGCCTATAAAATACCCAGAACGATACCCAGAGCACCCAACACACCCTCCCTGAACAAATCCACGCAGGTCAGCATGGGGCATGGTCTCTGACCCTCTTCCTTAGCCCCACACCTGGACCACACACATCCTGCTCTCCCAGGGCAGGGGAGGCTCCGAGGACAGGAAGGAGATGGCTCTGGGGCCCGCAGGCAGGCAGCTCCTCCAGGCCCGCCTGTCCACCCCCGATGCCCCCACTCACACACATCAGCCACGCCCAGAGACAGAGGAAGGCTCGGACAGGAGAGGCGCACCCCACACGCACAGACACACTCACACCAGACACACAGGCGCAGAGGAAGGGACCAGACACAGGTGGACACCTGGATCGCGCCTTCAGGCTGAGACAGAAACAAGGACGGAAACAAGGACAGACACGCACACAGACACAGACAGGGACACACCCCGGAGAGACAAAGACAGGCAGCCGACACACACACTCACACACACAAGCAAAGGCGAGACACAGGTGGCCTCCTGGACACACGCAGTGACACACGCGGAGACACACCAAGACAGCTGGAGAGTCTGAGCCCAACACACACACACAGCCACAGGCATCACCTTGACACGCATGACCCCGCCCCCTCCCCGGCCGTACACTTTCTTCTCCGGCACCTGCCGACTTCAGGTAGACTCGCCTCGAGGTTTCCTCTGGAAAATGACCAGCCCAATCCTCCTCCGCCTGCACTGCGCCTGCGCGCACCCACAGACTACACTTCCCAGAAGTCCGCTTTCCGTCTCCCTCTCACGCAAACGCTCGGGCCACCCCTCGGCGTGGTCGCTGCTGGCTACTGAACGCTGTTGGCGGTAGCGCCAGGCTCTGTATCCCAGAAGACCCCGCGGCAACGACGGCGAGACCGCAGGGCTGGAGAGGTAGCCGGAGAACGGACACCCTAAGGAGTTGGGGCGGGGGCCGTAATGGAGCGAGTGGACTGAGGGAATAGGGCCCGGGACCCGGGGGTGACAGTTGGGGGGAGGCTGAGAGAGGTGCAGGGAGGTGGTGAAGGAGGAATGCAGACGGTCAGAGAGTAGGGAAATTGCAGGAAAAAATGGGACCTTGGGAGATGGAGGGGAAGAAACTAGTCCCCTCCAAGAAATGCTGCCGTGCAGCCATGGCTCCTAATGGTCGTGCTGGCTTACAGAAAATTTGTAAAGTGTGCAGAGAAGCGAGAAAGCAAAGGGTCGTTACCAGCAAAGAAGTATTAGCCCTTTGCGTTATCGGCTAGGTTCTGTTGCAGACGTTGTATTTACAGAACCAAAGTGGGGGTTCCATTGCCCAATACCCCAAATAGGCCACCTCTAGAGGCAGAGTCTGGTGAGAAGGGAAAGAGGATTGTCATTCAGATGCTACAGAGTCGGGGAAAATGGCAGACTCTTGTCTCAAAGCCCTTCCCCTCCGGGAAACTCCAGGAAAAAGCCTGCAGTCCTCAGCCAGACCAGAACAGAAGGCAGTGCCAGAGTTCTCCCTTTCAAAGTACCGTCTCTTGGGAACCACAGGTGGCCGCTGAGCCGTCACCCAGGCAGCTCACTTTGATCCCTACGGCATTTGGACTTTAGACTCCTTCCTAGAACTAGCCTGGAGGGGACGGCACCACCATCGACCAGTCCGTTTCCAGGGCCAGAAGGACCTGCAACACAACACTTATTCTGGTCGCCAGGGTTGAGAAACCATCTCTACCTTCCCCTGGCTTTTATATTAGTTTCCAGTTTGAGAACGGTGAGACTAGCCAATGAACTTCCCAAACTTTCAACGGGGAGAGTTCAACCGCGACCAATTGCTTCCTTCCCATAGTCTATACTGGTTAGTCTTCCGTCCAACATCTCATCGCCTCCCCACCATTTTGATTTCTGTGGTGCAAGTGCCCGCCTTGCCTTTCAACCACACCCAATCTGATATCCGGAGGCTGGAGGAGGGCTTTTCCCCTCTCCAATCATCTTGATAGGCTAGCACCAGCTCAGTGCAATACATCCTATTACCAGCATCTGGCCCAGCATTAGATTGTGCTTCCAGGATAGGATGCTCCACTTTCAAGGCAGGTGCTCGGTTACCTAGGCAACGTGGTCCCGACCTCTGCTTCATCAAAGCCTAGATGACAGAGATTTCCTCTAGTGGCCTTTTTTTTCTTCCCGCCCTCTGGCTTCTCCCAGTGGTCGGGCTAGGCTGTCAGTATCATTAAGATGCACAAAATGATTTAATCCTCGGAACCAAGCTACATTCCAGATGAGGGCAGTGAAACAAATGAGGGAAGTCACAGAAGAGGAAATGGGGTGCTGGGGTGGAAAAGGGTGTCTCCAGGCTGGGCCCCCTTGTATCATAAACAAAGCCAAGTGCAAAAGTATTTGCTGAATGTCTCAGTGACCACAAAAATGCCAACAGCATCCTCCTTAGGTGGTGATTAATGACATCTTTTCCTTTCCTTTTTAATGTTTAGTGGAGGATATGTTCATTGGTTTTAGAGAGGCATGGTTTTAGAGAGAGGCGAGGGAAGAGAGAAACGTTGATATAAGAGAAAAATACCCTTTGGCTGCTGCCCACAGGGGCCCCACCTGGAATTAAACCTGCAACCTAGGTATGTGCCTTGACCAGGAATGGAAACTGCAATCTTTTGGTGCCCAGGATGATGCTTCAAAGCAACTGAGCCACGGAGCCAGGCCTGAACCCCCTTTCGGATACACCTGTTCCTGGCTTTGACCTAAGCCTGCTGATTTCCCCGAGGACCTGGCTTTCATGCTAAGTCAAACCAGCTGGATCTGTCAGTGATTGACTCGCTAGGCAGAACGCACAGCTGTCTACCTCTGACTTCTTCAAAGAACCAGTATGCCTGGGAAAAAGCCCTGCTGCCCTCTGGAAACGAAGCTGTCTGGGCTGTGAGGAGTGTGGGATAAAAGCAGAAGACGGCAAAACCTGCACAGTCATTTTTAAGAGGCAGCTTTGGCTTTTAGGGTGGTAGGGCCTGGCTAAAACCTGACTGAACCTGGCTGGTGTAGTTATTCAGAGGGGAGGCAACCATACATTGATGTTTCTTTCCCTCTCTCCTTCCCTTCCCCTCTAAAGAGAAATACCCCTCTAAAGATAAATAAATAAAATCTTTAAAAAAAAAAACCTGACTGAAGTTATTAACACGGAGTTTCTAAAAAACTCTGTGGCAAAAAATGTATCCCCCCAAAAAAGAAAAACAAAAGACAGATGTGTCAGGATTCAGGATGGCTACCTTGACTTGGGGAAATTGAGGGAGTGCTATGTAAGGATATGTGAGTTATTGGCAAGTTTCTAGTTTTTATGTTTGGAGGTGAGACCAAAGGATATTATCATGTATTTACCAGAATACAGCTGGCTTTATGCTAACTCGAATTATAAACATTTGAAATCACATTGCAGTGGCATTTGTTTTCAATGGAATGAAGCCTTGCAGCTTAAAATTTCCTAAAAATCCTTTTAAAAATTATTTTTAGACAGAGGGGAAGGGAAGGAGAAAGAGGGAAACATCAAATGTGTGGTTGCCTCTTGTGCGCCCCCTACTGGAGACCTGGCCGGCAACCTAGGCACGTGCCCTGGCCTGGGAATCGACTGGTGACCCTTTGGTTTGCAGGCCAGTGCTCAACCCACTGAGCCACACAAGCCAAGACGTATAACAGCATATTTAATAATGATAGTGAATGTTTCATAGTAAGAGGCTGATACACATTCGGCATTGTAATTATGGGATGGGGAATGTTAACTGGTTTCAATTTATGGAGAAGAAAAACAGGGTCACCCCCTCCCATTCCTGCAAAAATGCAGGGGGACTGGGAATGGTGCCCAAGGAGAGGAAGGCAGTTTTTGAGACACACTGCATATCAAAGGCAGATTAACAGCTCTTGCCTTCCTGAAGGGCGGAGCTGGAGGAGGAGGCTGCTGCCTGTTGCAAATTGTAAACCTAACTGTGAGGAAGTGAGCAGGCAGAGCGACTTCTGACAAAGTGGGGGCAGCTCATATAGCCACTGTTTTGAGCTGTGGGGGCCCAGATGTTTCCCCTTGGACTAACAGATGTATGTGCACCTGGGCACAGCTGGGAAACTTGAGCTGACTAGACAGCAGCCAAAAGAGGGTCAGAGTGATTGAGGAGCTAACAAAAGTGGGGAACGCGAGGCACCCATAGGAAAGGATGGATACTCCCACTGGCTTCCTGTGCACCTGGGATTTTGGGACACCTTTTAAAAGTTAACACGGACTCTCTCGCACTCTCCCTCCCTCCTGTTCTGGGTACAGCCATTTCACAAGAAGTTACTCTCTTGCCCTGGCTGGTGTGCTCACTAGAATGAGCATAGGCCTATGAACCAAAGGGTTGCTGGTTAGATTCTCAGTCAGGGCACATGCCTGGGATGCAGGCCGAGTCCCAAGTAGAGGGCACAGGAGAGGCAACTACACACTGATGGACAGATAAGGAAATGAGGAATTTCTGGGCATAGTTTTTGGCTTGAAGTCTTTTGGGGAGCAAGGGAAGTTTTAGATCTCGTGGGAGAGAAGGGCTCAGAGCAGAAGTGCTCTCTGGAACCCTGTTAATAAAAACCCACTTCCTTCAATGCAGATAGTAGGGTAACGTGGATTCAAGGCATCAAGCAGCAGAAACTCAGTTCCAAGGTTACAGCGGGTCCCAATACCTAGTGTAGGATCTGTGTGTGAATTAGGTCACTGAACCCACACAATATAATAGGGTATATTTCCTTACAAAATCTGCTTACAGAGGAAGACACTGAGGCTCAGAAAATGACCAGAACACACTGGTCGGAGCACACAGACCTGGGGTTTGAACCCAGCAGACCTGATGCCAGAGTTCTTGCTCCCAACAGGATCCAATCAGTCACACACTTCTTACTGATCTTATCAGCGCTGCTGGGGTGATTTCTCTACACCTCCTCATCATCCTCCTACCCCTTCCCTTCCTTCCTTTGCTTCTTCCTCTCTTCCTCTCCCCCTTCCAATTGTCCCTGTCCACCAGTAGAGGTGGGGATGGCCTCTGGGCTGCACAAGCACACACGGGACAGTCCCCAAAGAGGGCAAGGTGAGCCCCTCCCACCACACAGCTGCCATTGAGGTCTATTTGGCTAATTCACTGGCTCTGGTGTTTTCCTCATGCAAAGTATCAGACCTCTGAGCCTTGGTTTCCTGAGAAGAAATCCAGAAAAAATAGTAGGTCTCTGAGTAGTATTTAATTACCCATTTATTAATATAATACTTTATGTATTATTTTATTGTTAACGGGGCACCATTTTTAGGTTATTTGCTATTTATTATTAACAGATCACTATCATCATCAATAATGAAATCATTAAGTACACCGTGGCTAAGGCTGAGGGTAAGGCATAAATTGGATAATGTGCCCGCCACAGTGAAGGCACTTTATTTTCACAAAATTCCAGCCAGCATGGAGTCGGTAGGGGATTGTTTGTGATCTGAGGATTGTTCTCTTGTAACTGCAACAGCCCTGTGGGGAGGAGGGCCGGCCTGGCTGGGTTTCTGGAAAGGGGGCCCTTCCCCATCTCTGGGCCCAGCCTTCTGGTCTCACCATCCCCAAGCCAGGAATCCAGGGCTGGGAGGCGCAGGCAGCCTCATCCTTGGGGCAGGATTGCGGGGTTACTATTGGGTGTTCACGTCCATTCCCCCCAAGCGCTGACACTCATTTTGACAGGACAATCGGTACCTGTTATCTTTTGCATCTGACAACTATATATAGTAGCGTGGGTCTCCAATATTAAAAGATTTATTTAAACTTCCTGGGCTAGTGTGGCTCAGTGAATTGAATGCTGGCCTACAAAACCAAAGGGTCACTGGTTTGATTCCCAGGGACATGCTTGGGTGGCAGGCCAGGTCCTTGGTGGGGGGCGCGTGAGAGGCAACCACACGCTGATGTTTCTCTCCCTCTGTTTCTCTGTCCCTTCCCCTCTCTCCAGAGATAAGTGAATAAAATCTTTAAAAATTCGTATTTAAACAAAATACAACATACCACTATGAGAAACTTTGGCAACCGAAGCCCATATTGTTATTTCCTAATACTGAACAAAAAATTATTTTCCCCTCACAAACAACTGAGCAACTAATACTGTTGCAGAGAATCAAGGGGCTGGGTGTGGGCAAAACGAGGACACCCACAGATGGTGACACCCTAATCTCCGAACTAGATTTCGCCCTGTGTGACAAAGGGAGAATGTCCCCATGGAGCCCACCTTTCATTCTTCCTGTCTCCTCCTTCTCCTCCACTTTACTATCCAGGAGCTAGAGACCCAGAGACACTATATGTGTTGTCCAAGCTCTTAGAACAGTTTACTAAATCTCACTCTGGAGCTACAGTGCCTCCGGCCACGTTCCCAGATACCAGACCTGTTGGTGGGCCTGTGGATATTCTGGAAGCAGCTCGTGTGCGTGGCCTGGCCTCTCCCCAGCACCCAGGTTCCTAAGACCCGTCTGGGCAGGACTTCTCTACAGTCCTACCTGTGGGCTCCAGTATCAAGTCTGGCCCTGGCACATGAGCTCAGCCCACAGGTGTGGATTCTGAGATCCAACATGGCCAGTGCTACGTGTGCATCCTCCCCTAACGTTCGTAATGTTTATATTCCAGCTGAAGGTTTTCCTGCACTTGCCGCACAGCTTCTCTCCCGTGTGGATCCTCCAGTGGAGAGTAAACGAGAACTGCCTGATAAAGGCCTTGCCACGCTTGTAGGGTGTCTTGCTCATGCGGTCGAACTGGTGCATCGCTGGCGATGAGCATGTTGTAAAGTGCATCAGGCAGATGGAGCACTAGTGGGGCTTTGCCCAGTTATGTAGGAGCTTGTGGTTGGTGAGGGTCAACTGCCAGGTGACCTGCTTTCCGCACATGGTGCAGACAGGCTTCTCCCCAGTGTGCATCCTCTGTTTCAGGGTGAAATGCGTGTTCTGGCTGAACGCTTTTCTGTAATCCCTGCATGTATATGGCTTGTCTTAGGTGTGGATATTCTGGTGGATGGTGAGGTACAATTGTCTTCAGTGTGGATATTCTGGTGGATGGGTGAACTGTTTTCCACACACAGCACGTGAGAAGAAATTCTACCTGGAGTGGATGTGTTGCAGCTTCTTCAAGGACAAGTTACAGCTGAAAAAAACCTCACAGCACTCCATGCACTCACGTGGCTTCTCCCATTGTGTCTCATCTGGTGCAGTATGAAGTTCGCATCCTGGCTAAAGGCCTTGCCGCAGTATTTGCACTTGAAGGGCTTCTCCCCGGTGTGCACGCGCTGGTGGATGGCAAGCTTCGAAGGCCGGGTGAACTGCTTCCCACATGTATCGCACAGGAAGGGCTTCTCCCCAGAGTGAATTAGTTGGTGGTTCTTCAGGGATGAGTTACATCTGAAAGCCTTACCGCAGTCCTCACAGGTGTACGGCTTCTCCCCAGTGTGGATGCGCTGGTGGATGGTGAGGCTCAGCTGATGGGTGAACTGCTTCCCACACATGGAGCACAAGAAGGGCTTCTCCCTGGTGTGCGTCCTCTGGTGCAGCATGAGGTGCCCCTTCTGGCTGAAGGCCTTGCCGCAGTCCCCACACGTGTATGGTTTCTCCCTGGAGTGTGTCCTCTGGTGCACGATGAGGCTCTCGTTCCGTGTGAAGGCCTTCCCACAGTCCCTGCACACATATGGCTTCTCCCCAGTGTGCGTCCTCTGATGCGCGATGAGGTACTCATTCCGGGTGAAGGCCTTGCCACACTCCCCGCATGTGTACGGCTTCTCCCCGGTGTGCATCCTCTGGTGAACAATGAGGTTCCTGTTCTGGCTAAAGGCTTTCCCACAGTCCTCGCACATGTAGGGCTTCTCCCCAGTGTGAGACCTCTGGTGCCGGAGGAGGTGCTTGTTCTGGCTGAAGGCCTTGCCGCAGTCCACGCACATGTACGGCTTCTCCCCAGTGTGCACGCGCTGGTGGATGGTGAGGCATGATGGCCAGGTGAACTGCTGCCCGCACGTGGTGCACGGGAAGAGCTTCTCCCCGCTGTGGATTCGTTGGTGCTTCTTCAGGGACGAGTTATAGCCGTAAGACTTGCCGCAGTCCCCACACTTGTAGGGCTTCTTCTCTGTGCAGAGTTGGGAGGGAGCACCGAGGCTTGTAGTACTTGAGTTCTTCCTACACACAGTGAATGGGTGACTTCCTGCTCCTCTGAGCCCTTTTGATCTTGGTGGGGCCGCAGAGGGGCTTTGGTGGACGAATGCCTTAAATTCACGATATACCGGGGCTAATGCCTGGGACAGTGCCTGGGACATGTCCAACTGCCCCAGACAGGATGCGAGGCTCCCATGTCGCCACCCCATCTGGTCACCCTGTGTCCCCACTCCTTCAGAAGCACAACTCCGTGCACCATTCCTTATGGGTCTCTCTGCCTCCACCACAAGGGGTGGTCTCTCTTCCCAAATGTCCTCCTGTGGGTCCAGTTCTCTCATGTCAGGTCTAGTCTCCAAGTCTGAGGAGAGAAAAAGAGATGACGCCACACATGCAGTTAACAGCACTGGGAGGGAGGAGCTTCCAAGACACAAGACGTGTCCTGAGAGTGGGGGGCAGCCTCTCACGGGGTCAGAGGGAGAAGGGAAGCGGTGAGCTGAGACAGTGACGTACAGGTGCAGGGAGGCGAGCGGAGAGATAGAAAGGTCCCGCAGGAGTGGGTGCAAAGGCAGACAGTGGAGCTCAGAGCTGGGCAGACAGACCCCTGCAGAGAAAGAGGAAGGAAGAGCAAGTCAAAGGCCCCCACAAATGCAGGGAGGGTTCACTGCGCCCGGCTCCTCACTTCCATGCCTCGTCCTGGACACCCCCAGCCAGTTGTGCTTCTCAAAACACTGAGTTTATTAGAAATGTTCAAATAACACCTGACTCACATGTAGCTGTGCTGGTTGTCCCCCTGTGTCCCCACCAGCCAAGTAACCCCCCACTTCCCACAGGGCCCAGGAGTGGCCCGGCCCCAGCTGCTGACTCCTTTCCCCTCCTCCCTCCCTGCTGACCACAGCTGCTCCAGTCCCCTCCTGCTTGTGTCCCGTGGGTTCCTCAATTTCTGTCTCTGGTCTGGGGGGCTGTCCTGAGTTCCAGACTCTGTGCATGGATCTTAGGGTTTGAGCCAACATCAGAAAACTGTGAAATCTTACAAAAAACTCTAATTAGAATGTGAAGATCCTGCCACGTGGAGCCCTCCTTCCTAAGAGGCAACTGAAAAAGCAGGAATGGTAGACAGCTGTCTCCCGTTCCCCATTTAAGGCCACACTGGATGAACAAGCCCTGAGTCTTGGATCCCTCCACTGAGCCACAGGAGCCAGGACTGCGGTCTGTTCTGTATGCTGACACCGAAATGGGTGCCCCTGCCCGCACCCTTTCTCTGAGCTCTGCTGAGGAATAATCCAAAGACTATTGGGTGCCCCTCCCCGGTACCGCAAACTGAATGCATTGGAGGCAAGACTTGTGATTTCGGAACCTTCACTCCCAAATAACAAAGGGAAAATAAGGTCCATCAAAGAGACTTAGCAAAATAAGTCAGACGCTCAATGACCGATACCGTATGATTTCCATCATAAGAGGCAACTAGAACTGTCCAATTGATAGAGGTAGAAAGTAGGACATGGGTGACAGGGCTTGGGGAGAGGCACGGGGGGCTGCTGTTTAGAGGGGAGATCTTAAACATCTGTCAGCTGCAGATGTTTAAGAGTTCTGGAAGTAAATGGTGGTGATGGTTGAAATAATGTGAATGGGTGTAATTCATGCCATGGAAATAGTTAATTTCATGTTATGCATATTTTGCAACGATTAAGAAAATGAGTTTGTGCCCTGGCTGGTGTGGCTCAGTGGACTGAGTACTGGCCTGCGAACCAAAGGGTTGCCCGTTTGATTTGCAGTCAGGATACATGCCTGGGTTGCAGGCCAGACCCCCAGTAGGGGGTGTGTGACAGGCAACCACACAATGATGTTTCTCTCCCTCACTTTCTTCCTCCTTTCCCCTATCCCTAAAAATAAATACTTTTTTCAAAGAAAAGAAAGAAAACAAATTTGCTAAATAAAAAATAATTACTAGTCATCTTAGATTCAACCTTTCCCTCCCACCGTCCAGACTGTTAACAAATGCCACCACACAGGAGAACACCTTGAACTGGACACCAGGAGGACTGGACCAGACCAGTGCACCACCACGGCCGTGATGCAGCAGCCGCCCTCGCTCTCTACAACCCACTGTCCACTCCACGGGAAGAGAACCTCACGAGTCAGACCAAACCCTCTAGCACTTTCCCAGTTTATGGAGGATCACAGGCAATGCGATCACTGTCACTCTCCCCACTCCTCTCCGCCATCCAGTCCTGTGATTCCCTTTGATTTCCTTGTCCATGCCCAGTGCTTCCAGCCTCAGGGCCTTTGCCCCTGACCTTCCCATGGGTGCTCATCCTTGAGCCTCAGGAAACCTTTGTCCCCCACAGGGAGGCCTTCTCTGTCCACCCTACAGTGGAAAGGAAGCTCCGCCTGCATCACTGTGAGCAGTCCTTACGGTGCTCTTCCCCATTCTGCGCGCTGACAGATCCCATAGTGGGAGGTGCATTCCGTGAAGGCAAGGGCCTATCCAGTCCCCAACTCCCACAGTGTCCAGGACACAAAAGGCACCTGATAAACCTTGACCAAGCATAGGCCACATGCTGGCATGGTGCCAGGTAGCCCTGACCACATGTGAATAGGTGCTGGTATGATTATACCCATTGCAGACTGGGAAACTGAAGCTGTAAGAATGTGGCCATACCCTCAAGGTCACCCCGCATGTGGTCCGACCCCCCCACAAGAGTCACTATCTTGCCCCCCATAACTATCCTATCCCAGAGAGATGGATTTGAGAAGTGCGAAAAGTAGGAGAATGATCCTGGTTTCGTGACCCTGAGGTGTGGGGGTGATGCCCGATGTCAGAGTGGGTGGTGGCCTGGGACATGGAGGCTCAGGGTAATTTACCAGAGGGAAGTGGGAAGGAGAGTGGTGATGGGTTGGGTTTGGGGCCAAGGAGTCTGAGACACACTGGGGACATAACTGGCCACAAGCACCACAGACTGGACACAGAAGTCTTGGTTGTGAACGTGGCTGGAAGTGCAGTCGCCAGAGAAAGTAACTGATAAACTGGACTCCATTAAATTACAAGCTTTTGCTCATCAACAAATGGTGCTGGGGCACCCAGATATCCACATTCAAAAGAGTGATGATACGTGGTGATGGAAGGTGATGTGACTTTGGGTGGCGGGCACACCATGTAACATACAGATCGCTTACCCTAAAAATGTACACTTGAAACCTATCTGATCCTGTTAGCCATTGTCACCACAATCAGTTTAACTGTAGTAATGTTTAGTAAACTTAACACTGATGTCAGACCCATTTTATATCATTTGAACAACAAACCCAAAACGGACCAAAGACTTAAATGAAGAACTAAAATTGTAAAATCCTCAGAACAAACAGGAATAAATCCTCATGGCCTTTGGTTAGGCAATGATCCCTCAGATACAATACCGCAAGCACAAGCAACAATAAAAAAAAATGAACTGGACCCCATGAACATTAAAAACATTTGCATTCCAAATGATGCCGTTGAGGAAAAGGTTTCCAACAGAACGCGACAAATATATCTGTTAGCCTTGGCTGGCGTGGTGGCTCAGTGGATCGAGTGCTGGCCTGTGAACTAAATAAAGGGTTGATTCCCAGATCAATGCCCACGCCTGGGTTGTGTGCCAGGTCCCCAGTAGGGGGCGCACGAGAGGCAACCACACATTGATGATACCCTCTCTCTCCCTCCCTTCCCTTGTGGCTAATAGTAAATAAAATCTTTAAAAATATATATCTGTTAAAACAGTGGTATGAAGAGTTAACAAAAAACAGAATACATAAAGAACTTTCCATGTGAATAATATGGAAGCAAACAACCCAACTAAATAAACAGGGAAGACCTGAACCAGACACTTCACCAAAGAGAATATACACTGACGGCAAATAAGCACCCGGAAAGGTCCTCAGTACCAGCTGCAAGCTGGGTTGTGATGAGACTGCACACTCACGAGAATGGCTGCAATGAGAGACTGGGCATGTTCAGTTCTGACAGGCATAGGACACTATACAATTTGGGGCACCTGCTGGCGAAAATTAAAAATAAGACAGCTCCTTTGGAAAAAAGGTTAGCAGTTTCTGAGGAAGTTAAATAAGTACCTCTGTATGCCCCAACCATCTTCAACAGAATGGACAGATTCTGTCTATAGAAAAATGTCTTGAACTGGTAACAGCCCATATGCTTATCATCAAGTGAAGGAATAAACACATCGTGGTCCCTCCATGAAGTGGAATATTACTCAGAAATATAGAGAAGTTAAGTATTGACTTGGCTGGGTAGCTCAGTTGGAGCATCACCCCATTGACCAAAAGGTTTGAGTTGCATCCCCAGTTGGGGCCCATATAGGGGGCAAGTGATTGATATTTCTCTCTCTCATCAATTAAATTATTCTCAGGTGAGGATTTAAATTTTTTTTTAAAGAAAATGAAGGAAACTATTGATACACACAGATGACAAGGGTGAACCTCATGAAAAATGATGCCGTGTAAGATGTCAAATAAAAAGAAAAGAATGCCTGACACACGATTCCATGTACATAAAATTCTAGAGTTGGCAAAGTAAACGCAGTGACATAAAGCAGTCCCCTGGTTGCCGAGTGATGGAAGTTGACGGAAAGAAGGGACAGTTTTTAAGCCACTGGATGTGTCTGCTGCATCATGAGGAGGACTTCCCAGGTGAACGTCAATGTCAAAATGCATCCAATTGTTCCCATTAACTGTGTGCAGTTCATTGTAAGTCAGTTACACCCCCACGTAAGCTGTTGAAGAAATGTGACCATACCCTACTTCTGAAAGTTAGTGTTTTTCCTGAACAATTATTATCTAGAAACGTCTTTCCGTGTCAGTGATGGTAAGGATTCCCCACTGCTGACCAGGGCCGTGATGGCCATTATATTGATACATTCTGATATGTTCGGTCAGCCTTGGAGGTGGGCATCTAAGGCATTTCTCTAGATTTTTCTTCCTATGAAAAACTGCACACTTATAGGAAAAATGTTAAAGGATATATTCCAGAAATAGAATTGTAATAACACCAAACTGCCTTCCAAAACAGCTGTACCAGCTTCATGCTCCTAAAATTAAGAGGCCCTTTCCCTACACCTTTATTACACAGGATGCTGTTACTTTTTTTCTTTACTGAATCACCAGGAAGATGCTTAGGGACTGAGGAAGGGGATGGGGAGCGAAAGCGGAAGAGCAAGAGAGAGAAACAGAGAGAAAGGGAGAGAAAAACACTGATGAGAGAGACAGCGATTGGTTGCCTCCCATCTGTGCCCCACCTGGGGAATCAAACTCACAATGTAGATATGTATCCCGACAGGGAATTGAACCCGCAAACTTCTGGTGTACGGGACAAAGCTGCAAGCAACTGAGCCACATCCAAGGAGAAATATTAATCTTTTTCATCTGTCTCTCACGGATGAGGATTTTATTTCTGTGACTCCATTGGTACTTCTTTCACTTATTAGTATGGTTAAAAATCTTTTACAAAGTATAACTTCATACATTTCTACATCTATGATTTGCATGCTCTAAAATTGGTCCATTTTTATATCATTCAGTCTTTTTCTAGTTTATTTCTTTTTTAAAAAAATATTTTATTTATTTATCTTTAGAGGGGAATGAAAGGAGACAAGAAGAGAAGGAGAGAAATATCAATGTATGGTTGCCTCTCATGGGTCACCTGCTGGGGACTGGCCTGCAGCCAGGCATGTGCCCTGACTGGGAATCCTTTGGTTCGCAGGCCCGCGCTCAGTCCACTGAGCTACACCAGCCAGGGCTCTAGTTTATTTCTAAGTGTGCCTTATGTATTTAAAATACTCTGACTATTGTACTGCAGTAAATACTCTTCCTCACCTCATCTCCTATCAAGTTCATTTTTAGCTTTGAGTAATTTGACCGTTCTTCCTATTCAGACTTGTGCATCTTTTGTTTCTGTGCCATCCTGAAGTGACAGGCAGGTGGTGAATAAAAAGGGGAAGCTGCCCCCTTACCCAGTGACACCAGGTTCCAGTAGGTCTCCATCATCACGTCCCTGTACAGGTCCTTCTGCGCAGGCCTCAGCTGCTGCCACTCCTCCTGGGTGAAGTCCACGATCACATCCCTGAACGCCACCGACCCCTGTAAGAGGAAGCGCACACTATTCACTGCAGGGCCCTTTTCACAGTGGTTGGGAGATGTGTCCCAAAAGGCCAAGGGGATCAGGAAGACACAGAGGATGCACCTGATGTGATGTCAACAAGGTGCAGAGCTCTAAAGGGCCTGACCACTCAGTGTCCTTGGTGCCTAGTTCACTGGATGCTCCTCGGTTGGTAGAAGTGGAAACTAAGGCAGTGATCACAGAGAAGGTAACAGTTGGACTGTTTTCCAACTGTTTGACCGCATTGGAAAACAGTCAGATCAATCCTTAAATGGTGAAACACTGTTATCAAAGGATCCATAGTTTCCTCTCCTACACTCAAGAGAATTGAGAAGATCAAACAGAAAACTGTACATGAATGTTCACGGTAGCATTACTAATAAAAACCAAGAGGTGGAAACAACCCAAATGTACACATGGTCTATCTGTACGACGGAATAGTATATACAGTTATTAAAAAGCAAACCTGTTATAACAAAGATGAACATCAAAAGCATGAAGGTCAGTAAAAGCAGCCAGATACAAAAATCCATGTCATGTGATTCCATTTATAGAAATGTCCAGCCCTGGCTGGGCTGCTCAGTTGGTTGCAGTGTTGTCCACACACCAAAGGTCAAGGATGGGGTCCCAAGTGGGGTGCATATGAGAGGCAGTTGATCAATATTTCTCTCACACACAGAAATTTCTCTCCCTCTTCTCCTTCCCTTCTCTCTAAAAATAAACACTTAAAATAATAAAAACCTTCAAGAATATTAAGAGTCTTATTAGACCAGTATAGCATATGATAAATAATTTACCCACCTACATACAATTGGCAAATAAACATTTTCTAAAAATCAAACCTCAGTAATGCCACAAACAATGCTACTCAGAAAGAGATCACGTGACCTCAGCTGTCACCTACCACATGGATAGTTTATACCACTTGCTATTTATATTCAATTACCAGAATAAGAAAAGAACAATAGCCAACATGAAACACAGGCAGCGCCTTCCACATGTGGGTGGGAGAATAAACTGTTCCAACCCATAACTTAAGACTTGTAAAGGCCTTAAAAATACCCACTAGAACCCCACCTTCTTCTATAAGGACTCTCCCTTAAAGAAATCATACAGCCCTGGCTGGTGAGGTTCAGTAGACTGAGTGTCAGCCTGCAAACCAGAAGGTCACCTGTTTGATTCACAGTCAGGGCACATGTCTGGATTGAAGGCCGGGTCCCCAGGTAGGGGGTGAGCAAGAGGCAATTGATCCCTGTTTCTCTCACACACCAATATTTCTCTCCATGTATACACCCTTCCTTCTCCTCTCTCTAAAAAATAAATAAAATTTTTACATAGTTGTTCCCCTTCCATAATAAAAAAAAAAGTTCTGGCTGGTGGGGTTCAGTGGTTTGAGCGTTGGCCTGTAACCAAAGGGTCACTGATTCAATTCCCAGTCTGGGCACATGTCTGGGTTTTGGGCCGGGTTCCCAGTTGGGGAAGTGTGAGGCAACAAATTGATGTTTCTCTGGCACATCGATGTTTCTCTTTGTCTCTTTCTCCCTCCCTTCCTCTCTCTCTAAAGATAAGTAAATAAAATCTGGAAAAATAAAAAAAGAAGGAAATGTAAAAATGTCATACAAACTGGAGAGAAAAGATTCATGCCCAGCCCTGGCAGCTCAGCTGTTTGGAGCACTGCCCCATATACGAGAAGGTTGCAGACTTGATCCAGGGTAGGGGCACGTGGTTCTCTCTCACATCTGTGTTTCTGTCTCTCTAAAACTCAATGAGCCTATCCCCTGGTGAGGATTAAAAAAATGATGCCCAGGCATACATATGTAATTTAGTGATTTGAGAGGGAGAGAAAGAGATGTTCTTCCGCTTACTGATGAATTTATTCCTTCTTGTATGTGCTCTGACCAGGGATCATCAAACCTACAACCTTGGCATATCGAGATGGTCCTCTAACCAACTGAGGAACATGTATATCTTTTTTATTGTAAAGTATCTCTCGCATACAAGGGAGTTTACAGAAGAATATTACAAATAGCCACCAACTAAAATAAAACTTCAGGGAGAGCCAGGGACATTCTTGGGTTACTCCCCAGAGACATCCTCCAATTGTCCCCTGGACAATTCAATGCTGTCTGCCTATTTCTGAAGGTCCCTTGTCCAGCATGTCCAGTCTGGGGCCTCTGTCACACAAGATGGAACATATTTGACCCACCACTTACAGGTGCCTGCTGGTGTTTCCACACTGACCATAGTGTAAGACAGGTCACTCCTGAGCTATTCTGTCCCATGTGGTTGACAAAAGCACTTGTCAGTATTGTACTCTCCCACCTCAGGGTGAATTCAACCCCAGGAGACAAGGCTGGGGGCCTGGGCCCCGAGCGGGGCTCAAGGGGAGCAGAGGGTCATCCCTGCTGGGCAGCCTGACCCTGAGGAAGGAGGTACAAGAGGGTGTCATGACTCACCAGGGCCTTTGTGGTCAGAGTCTGGGTGGCCATCCTTCCAGTGCCCATGGTGACTGGGGAAAAGGCAGGCTGGGGGCAGGGGGAGAAAGAGAAAGGCATAGTGAGAGATCAGGTCAAGGCCCAACCCACAATACAGACAGGACAGACAGACACACACACTACAAGACAAGAGACAGAGACATGCACACTCTCTCATAGTGAAGGCATGCAGTGTGGCTTTCACAGCACTCTGCAAACCCTCCAGGAAGCAGTAGTTATGTCCCCAGGTACAGTGACTTCCTGATGTTTTACATAGAATTTACTTTTTACAAATGTATTCTTTCTGGACTTGCGGTCTCTGATTTCTATCCCTGTCCCATAAGGCCAACAACACGGGCTCCTTTTAATGGAGGAGGAAGCCACCAGAACAGACTTTCCCAGAAGGCACAATGGGCCCTGAGCCCCTGACACGTGTAAACACCCTTGTAAATATCTTAATTTTTTTTTTTAGCCCTGGCTGGTGTGGCTCAGTGTACTGAGCGCGAGACTGGGAAACAAAGGGTTGCTGGCCAGTTGGCCAGTTCCCCAGGAGGGGGCGCACAAGAAGCAACTACACATTAATGTTTCTTTCCCTCTCCTTTCCTTCCCCTCTTTCTAAAAATAAATAAAATCTTAAAAAAAAGAAAATATCTTAATTTTTTAAATTATGAGAGAAAACGCAAATCTAATGCAGCCTGGATTATATTTATAGCAATGCAATCACAACTATAATTTTTCATCAATTAAAAGGAGGCTATAAAGGCACAGTGGCCTTGGAAGTGGTATGTGCATAGGGCTGGTGAGCTCTGAACCCGGTGTGGCCTCAGATCTGTGGCTGCAGAGCCAGAGGTGGCAGCTGCTCCTGCTCCTCCTCCTCTATCCAAGCTTTCTGGCAATTCCTACTGTCCACTGTTTCTGAGGGAAACAAGGATTTGCCATCTGTGGGGTGGTTAGGGTGAGGACTCTGGTACCTGGATGCCTGGGTGCGAAGTTGGGTGATTCACTTAAAGTTTCCGAACCTGTTTCCCCATCTGCAAAATGGGAATGATGAGGGTCCCTACCTCATACTTACTGGAAGGCCTATGAAATGCCCAGAATCATACCCTGAGCACCCAACACACCCTCCCTGAACAAATCCACCCAGGTCAGCATGGGGTAGGGTCTCTGACCCTCTTTCTTGACCCCACACCTGGCGACCACACACGTCCTGTCCTCCCAGGGCAGGGGAGGCTCTGAGCACAGGAAGGAGATGGCTCTGGGGTCCAGGACGGCCGTCTTTCCCACACCCTCGGGAGGACACCCTGACATATCCACACACCAATGTCAGCCACGCCCAGAGACAGAGGTGCAGGTGCACACGGACAGGGGAAGGCTCGGTCAGGAGAGACGCACCCCACACGCACAGACAAACTCACACCAGACACACAGGCGCACAGGAAGGGACCAGACCCAGGTGGACACCTGGATGGCACCTTCAGGCTGAGACACCGCGGACGGAAACAAAGGCAGACACGCACACAGACACGCAGACAGAAGTGAACACAGAGGGACGCTGGAGAGGCCAAGACAGGCAGCCGACACGCACACAAGAGTAAAGGCGAGACACAGGAAGCCATCCGGACACATGTGCTAACAAACACGGAGACAGAAAGCAACTGCCTGGGAGTCTCAGACACACACACACCCGGGGATCACCTTATCACCTTTACACACACACACACACACACACACACACACACCCCGGGGATCACCTTATCACCTTTACCCTCACGAACCCGCCCTGGGAGTCTCAGACACACACACACCCGGGGATCACCTTATCACCTTTTTACACACACACACACACACACCCCGGGGATCACCTTTACCCTCACGAACCCGCCCTGGGAGTCTCAGACACACACACACCCGGGGATCACCTTATCACCTTTTTACACACACACACACACACACACACACACACACCCCGGGGATCACCTTTACCCTCACGAACCCGCCCTGGGAGTCTCAGACACACACACACCCGGGGATCACCTTATCACCTTTTTACACACACACACACACACACACACACACACACACACACACACCACCCCACCCCACCCCCGGGGATCACCTTATCACCTTTACCCTCACGAACCCGCCCCATCAGTGCCCACTTCTCAAGTGCACACGCCCCTTCCCACACCTGCAGGTTCTCTACTCCCGAACCCGCCCCTTCCGCAGCGGAAGTCTCCCTCAGCAAAGTGCCCGAATCCCCCAAAGCCCACCGACCACACTGCACCGCGCGGAAACGCAGCTACACTTCCCAGAATGCCGTGCGTCGCCGCGGCCAACGCTACCGCCTTCCTCCAAAGCGCGGGCCGCCCCAGGTTCGGGAACTGGAGGGGGATAGTGAGCGCGGATGGTTCCAAGACCCACAAGCCCGCGCGCCACCAGGGTCAAGGGGGCGGGGCTCCTGAGGGACTAGGGGAAAGGTCGTGCAGGGGAGCGGGAGGAACGAGAGGCGGGAGAGCAGGACGGGAGCCAGAGAGAGGAGTGGGGTGCACCGGCGGTGTAGGGGCCGGGGAGGGGGAGGGGAAATTGTAGGAAAGGCGGGGAGTGGGTGAGGCGAGAAAAGACGCTGTAGCCTCTCTGCAGACGTCCTGCGTCCACCCAGGGACCCTGACTGCCGTGGTGACTTGCAGAAAATGTGTAAAGCCTGCGGAGATGCAAGAAAGCAAATGATCAGAGAAGATGTATTAGCCCTTCGCGTTATGTGCCACCCCCAGTTCTGGACGTGTTATTGTTACAGAACCAAACTGGGGTTTCTGTTGCCCGCAGCCCCCAAGCGGCAAGGTCTACACCCACCTGCAGAGGCAGGTGAGAAAGGAAAGAGTGTTTTCATTCAGATGCTGCAGGGTCGGGGAGAATGGGAGACTCCTGTCTCAAAGCCTCTCGCCTCCGGGAAGCTCGAGGAAAAAGCTAGCCGTCCTCAGCCCAACCAGAACCGAAGGCAGCGTCCAGAGCTCCTGCTCCTGCTCTAAAGTACCCTCTTTTGAGAATCTCAAGTGGCCACTGAGCAGTCACCGGGGCAGCTCAGCTCGATCCCTGCCGCTGTCCAGTTTCAGGCCCCTTCCTAGAACCCAGGGGCGCAGAGGTCGGCAAAGTCCGGGAAATCACGAGTTAGCGCCTTTGGGAGGTGGGCAAGAGAGCGTCCCTTACTTACCCTGGGTTTATATTAGTTTCAGGTGTGGGGCGGTCTGAACGCCCAATTAACTTCCCAAAGTTCCCGGTGCAGGAGGTGGGTCCACTGGAGACCAATCGCTTCCTTTCTCCGGGCTAGACTGACAGACTAGTGTTCGGTCCAGCACCTCCTCCCTGCCGCCATTCTGACCTCTGGTGCCTGATTTCCTTGGTACCACCCCCCAGTCAGTTACCAGAAGCTGATAGGTGGGTTTTCCCCCTATTCAATCGTCTTGATAGACTAGCACTTGATAGTATAGCACGCGCAATGCTTTCTATAACCATCAGCGGGCCTAGGACTGGGGTCTGCCTTCAGGATAGGATGCTCCACGTGCTGGGCAGGAGTTCCTTTACCTAGGCAACGTGGTCGCCAAGACAAAGAGATTTCCTCCGGCGGCCCCTTATGTTCCTGCCCTCTGCCCGCTCCCAGTGGTCTGGCCAGGTTATTGGTATCATTAAGATGTACAAATTCCTTTAATCCTAGAAACCAAGATACTTTCCAGTTATGGGCTATGAAACAAAACAGGAAGTCACAGAGGGAACTGGGGGTCCTGGGGTGGGAAAGAGGATCTCCAGGCTGGGACACCCTTGTACTATATAAACAACGAAGCCAAGTGCAAATGCATTTGCTGGGTGTCTTAGTGACCATAAAAATGCCAATGGCGGCTTCCTTAGGTGGTGATTAATAACTTCATTTTCTATCATTTTTAATCCTCAGCAGAGGATATGTTCATTAATTTTAGAGAGAAATGGGGAAGAGAGAGAAATATTAACGTAAGAGAGAAGCGTGCCTCAGTTGCCTCCTATGGGCGCCCTACCTGGAATTGAACCTCCAGCTTAGGTACGTGCTTTGACCAGAGGTGGCAGCACGCAATCTTTTGGTGAGCGGGGCTCCTGGCAACTGAGCCACCCAGCCGGGGCTCTATCCTCTTTCAGACCGTTAACTGGCTTTGACCTAGCCAGCCTGAGCTGTCCATGGTACTGAACTGAAGCCTTTCCGACCGACCTGGCTTTGGTGCTGAGTCAGACCAGCTGAGGCTGTCCACGGTTACATCTCTAGGCAGAATGCACAGCCCTGTCTATCCGCGTGGGAAAGAGCCCTGCTGTTGTCTGGAAACAAAGTTCTCTGGGCTGTGAGAAGCTTGGGATGAAAGCAGATGATTTTTTTTTATATTTTATTTATTTATCTTTAGAGGGGAAGGGAAGGAGAGAGGGAGAGAAACACCAATGTATGGTTGCCTCTCGTGTGTCCCCTGCTGGGAACTGGCCTGCAACCCAGGCATGTGCCCTGACTGGGAATCGAACCGTGGCTGCTTGGTTCCCAGGCCCGCACTCAATCCACTGAGCTACACCAGCTAGGGCCTGCACAGTCATTTTTAGAGGCAGCTTAGGCTTTTCGGGTGTGTCAGGGTATGTCTACAACCTGACTGAAGTTATTAACATGGAGTTTCTCAAACATTTCTGTGGCAAAAAAAAAATCTGCCCCCCCAAAATGAAAAGACAGATGTGTCAGTACTCAGGATGATGACCACCTTGGGTTGGGGAAATTGGAGGAGTGCTGTATAGTTTTATGTGTTATTGGAAAGTTCTAGTTTTTACGTTGTGTAGTGGAGGTCAAAGAAGGATATCAGTGCAGGCAGGGGTGTCAAACTCATTTTCACCAGGGGCTACATCAGCCTCATGGTTGCCTTCAAAGGGCCCAAATAATTTTAGGACTGTGTAAGTGGAACTACTCCTTAACTGTTAAGGAGCTGAAATTACATTCAGCCCTTTAAAGGCAACTGGGAGGTTGCTGTGTTCCCCCGCTGAAAATGAGTTTGACACTCATGTCATAGTGTATTTATAAGAACACAGCATGGCACTAGCTAATGTGGTTTGGTGGACTGAGGACTGGCCTACAGACTGAAACGTTATGGGTTTGATTCCCAGTCAGGGCTCCTGCCTGGATTGGGGGTCAGGTCCCCCCCAGGGGGCTTGCAAGAGGCATCCATGTGTTTCTCTCTTTCCCCTCTGTAAAAATAAATAAAATTTAAAAAAGGAATACAGCATGACTATGTTTTATGCTAACTTGAACTAGAAACATTTGAAATCATGTTTCAATGACTTTTTTTTTTTTGGAATGGCATGAAGCCTTGCAATTTAAAATACCCTAAAATTCTTATTTTCTAATATGATCAGTTATGTATATGGTAAGACATTTTTGTTATTTTGGTATCACTTGAGCAGGTGAAGAGCTATGCGGACCATGTCTTGTTAGGGTTGGCCTTGAATGATGCAGGTTTTGAGTGGTGCAAAGTCTTTGAAAATGAGCCCCTGGCATAAAAATCCAGCCACACTGGAATCAATGACTGAATCGATGGCTATGTTTGTCCTTCCCAAAGATCTGGTCACCAGGGAAGCCACAGCTGCCTCATCACTCAGGAGACGGACATTCATAAAACAACCACTATGTGCTCAATATTGCAAGAGACAACTGATGTGTGTCCCCTTCCTCTAAGATGGTAATTTCCACGCTTTTTTAAGGAGCGCAAAACTTTAAGATAAAGTTTTGAGGGTCTGATTTGAACTTTTGATCAGGTAGACCTACTGAACTCTTGAGTCTTCCCTACTTTTCCAACCTTATTGTGGTTTTGTCCCAGGGATTTGGATATTCCAAATTCTCTAAAGAAACTGGAGCTCATTACATTAAAGATATTTTTTCTTTATACTACCTTGCTTTCTGTAATTCCAGCTCAATGATGGTGGTGACCATATGTTTCTAATACACAGCTGAGTATCTATCTCTTAGGAGTGTTCTAGGCACATGCCAGATATTCTACGATTTATTTCTGAAGGGTTAAATGAATAAAAGGTAAAAGGCTTGTAAAGGTACAATACTCCAGTGTCTTTTTAAAAACTATATTATATTGATTATGCTATCACAGTTGTCCCAGTTTTTTTTTACCCCTTTTCCCCCATTGCTCTACAACCCTGTACTCCTGTATTCCCCCCCACTTAGTTCATGTACATGGGTTGTACATAAAGGCCTTTGGCTTCTCATTTCCTGTACTTTTCTTAACCTCCTCTTGTCTATTTTGTGCCTACCATTTATGCTTATTTCCTGTATCTCTTCCCGCCATTCTTCCTCCTCCCCCTCCCTGCTAATAACCCTCTGTGTGATCTACATTTCTGTGATTCTGTTCCTGTTCTAGGTTTTGGTTTTTTTTTTAGGTTCAGCTGTTGATAGTTGTGAGTTTGTTGTCATTTTACTGCTCATAGTTGTGATGTTCTTTTTCTCAGATAAATCCCTTTAACAATTCATTTAATAAGGGCTTGGTGAGGATGAACTCCTTTAACTTGATCTTATCTGGGAAGCACTTTATCCCTCCATTCTAAAGGATAGCTTTGCTGGACAGAGTTATCTTGGATGTAGGTCCTTGCCTTTCATGACTTCTCAAGCACCCAAGGGGCTTCAGCCCCCTACCCCTTGGCAGCCAATGAGTCTGCCTGCCTCAGGTTTCACTGGACCCCGAGGTTTTGGTCATTCAAAGTATTAGTTCTGAGCCTTGCTTTCCTCAGCAGAAAACCCAGGAAAATAATGCTCTAAGTAGAAATTCACTACCAATTTATTAAGCATTTTATGTATTATATTAGTGTTAATAGAGCACCATTCTATATCATTTGCTACTTATTATCAGTAATAGATTGCTGTTATCATCCATAATGAAATCCTAAGTAAAACATGACTAAGGTGTAGTGAGGCATAGCTGGATAATGTGCCTGCCTGGTGGAAAGCCATTTATTTTCACAAGAATTCCAGCTGGCACAGGGTGGGTGGGGGATCGTTTCTGATCTGACACAGAATTGTCCTCTTATAACTGAAAAGCACTGCAGGGAGTGGGACTCCTGAGTTGGTTTCTGCAGGGGGTGGGGGTTCTTGCCCCCACCTCTGAGGCTGAGGGTCTGGCCATTCCCAAGCCAGAAATCCAGGGCTGGGAGGGGCAGGTGGCCTCATACCTGCAGCAAGATTGCTGGGTCCCTGGGATTTAGATAAAGCATTCCTGCCCACTGGCCCCAAATGTTTTTTTTTTTTTTTTAAGGTTTTATTTATCTTTAGACAGGGAGGGAAGGAGAGAGGGAGAGAAACATCAATGTATGGTTGCCTCTCATGCATCCCCTGCTGGGAACTGGCCTGCAACCCAGGCATGTGCTCTGACTGGGAATCGAACTGTGGTTGTTTGGTTCACAGGCCTGCGCTCAATCCACTGGGCTACACCAGCCAGGGCATGGCCCCAAATGTCAACACTCATTTTGACAGGACAGCTGGTACCTGTACCTTTTGCACCTGATGACTGTTTAAAATGACATGAGTCTCAATTAAAAGGTTTATTATAAAAATTTTTTTAAAAGACCACTGAGAAACTTTGGCATCTGAAGTGATTGCTTTTATTCCCTAACACTGAAAAAAAATATTTCCGCTCTCATGAACCACTTGGCAACTTCTACTGTTGCAGGGAAACCAGGGGCTGGGTGTAGGGAAAAATGAGGAAACCCACAGATGGCGATAACCTGACCTCTGAACTAGATCCAGGCATGTGTGACAAGGGGAGAATGTCTCCCTGGAGCCCACCTCCTGATTTCCTTTCTCTTCCCATTCCTCCACTTTACTATCCAGGAGATGGAGACCCAGAGACACTAAATGCATTGTCCAGGCTCTTAGAGCAGTTTCCTGCAGCTAGATGATGAGTCACAGTGCTCTGGCCACATGCCCAGATACTAGACCTGTAGGGGGACTTCCTTTCCATATGGCCCTGTGGATGCACTGGAAGCAGCTGGTGTACATGGCGCGGCCTGTCCCCATACTGCTAAGATCTGTCTAGGCAGGACCTCTTGAGTCCTACCCAAGCCCAAGGGCTCTAATGTCAAGTCTAGCACTGCTGTAAGCACTAAGAATCCACCCATTGGGTGTGGATTCTGAAATGTCACATCCGCCGCTTCCCCCCCAGCTACGTGTGCATCCTCCTCTGGTGTTGCGTGAGGTTGAAGTTCCGGCTGAAGGTTATCCCGCAGCTGCCACACTGGTAGGGCTTCTCTCCTGTGTGGATCCTCCGGTGGAGGGTGAGTGAGTAGTTCCTGACAAAGGCCTTGCCGCACTGGCTGCACCTGAAGGGCTTCTCGCCGGTGTGGATGCGCTGGTGCAGGATGAGGTAGGCACCCTGGCTGAAGACCTTGCCACACTGGCTGCACTTGTAGGGCTTCTTGCCAGTGTGGCTGGCCTGGTGAGTAGCCAGGGACGAGGGCCTTGCAAATTGCATTTTGCAGATGGAACACTCGTAGGGCTTCTCTCCTGTGTGCATCCTCTGGTGCAGGATGAGGTGCTTGTTCTGACTGAAGGCCTTGCCGCAGTCCGCACACACGTACGGCTTCTCCCCAGTGTGCACACGCAGGTGCTCCATCAGTGAGGAGTTCTTGCTAAAGGCCGTGCCGCACTCCCCACACATGTATGGCTTCTCGCCAGTGTGTGTCCTCTGGTGCACGATGAGGTACTGTTTCTGGCTGAAAGCCTTCCCGCAGTCCCTGCATGCATATGGTTTCTCACCAGTGTGCACACGCCAGTGCTCTGTGAGTGAGGAGTTCTTGATAAAGGTCTTGCCGCACTGGCTGCACTTGTAGGGCTTCTCCCCTGTGTGGATACGCTGATGGATGGTGAGGCACGACTGCTGGGTGAACTGCTTCCCACATGTGGTGCAGGAGAAGGGCTTCTCGCCAGAATGGATTTGTTGGTGCCTCTTCAGGGATGAGTTACAGCCATAAGCCTTGCCACAGTCTGCACAAGCATATGGCTTCTCCCCGATGTGCAAGCGCTGGTGGATGGTGAGGCTTGATTGCCAGGTGAACTGCTTCCCACACGTAGTACACGAGAAGGGCTTTTCCCCAGTGTGTGTCCTCTGGTGCAGGACGAGGTGCATTTTCTGGCTGAAGGCCTTTCCGCAGTCCCCACACACATATGGCTTCTCCCCGGTGTGCGTCCTTTGGTGTAAGATGAGGTACGTGTTCTGGCTGAAGGCCTTTCCGCAGTCCCCACATGCATATGGCTTCTCCCCGGTGTGTGTCCTCTGGTGCAAGATGAGGTTCCTCTTCCGGCTGAAGGCCTTGCTGCAGTCCCCACACACAAACGGCTTCTCTCCTGTGTGCACACGCTGGTGGATAGTGAGGCACGACTGCTGGATAAACTGCTTCCCACAAGTGGAGCATGAGAAGGGCTTCTCTCCAGTGTGGATTCGTTGGTGCTTCATCAGGGACGAGTTATAGCCATAAGACTTGCCACAGTCCCCACACTTGTAGGGCTTCTTTGCACAGAGTTTAGAGGAGGGACTGAGGCTGGAAGTACCTGAGTTCTTCCCACTCCTGGTGAATGGGCGCATCTCTGATCGTCTTGGTCCTCCCACCCTCTGTGGGGCTGGCATGGGGCTTTGGTGGATGAAAGCCTTAACTTCATGACTTTCAGGGGCTAATGCTTTGGATGTGTCCAACTGCCCCAGACACGTCCCTGGGCCCCTCTGTCGACACCCAACTCGGTCACCCTGTGTCTCTGCTCCTTCACAGTCACAATCCCGGGCACCATTCCCTGAGGGTCTGTCTTCCCAATCTTCCTGCTGTAGGTCTGATTCTTTCATGTCAGGTCTAGTCTCCAAGTCTGAGGGAAGGGGAAAGAGATGGCGACACACATGTAGTTAACAAAGCTGGGAGGGAGGACCTTCCCAAGATACGAGAAAGCACAGCCTGACAGCAGAAGACAGTCTGTCCTGGGGGCAGCTGGAGATGGGTAGCAGTGACCTGAGTGTTGAAGGTGAATAGAAAAAAAAAAAAGGGTGAGTAGAGAGCAAGAAGGGTTCCTTTGGGAGTGGATACAAAGGCAGCCCGCAGAGCATAGAGCTGGGTGGACATAACCCTGAAGAGAAAGAAGAAAGTGGGCTTGGAGGAGCAGATCAAAGGATCCTACCAACCCAGGGACAGTTCACAGCACCAGCCTCCTCGCTCGCAGCACTCTTCCTCTCCTCCATCAGCCACCTGTGATTCTCAAACCATTGACGTTTATTACAAATGATAAAGTGCAGCTGGTTCTCATGTGGGTGCTGCTTGTCCTCTGTCTCCCCGGCCCCGGCCAAGCTCCCTGCTTCCTGTGCTGTCCAGGAACATCCTGGCCCCGACAGCTGGGTCCTCACCCCTCCCTGCTGCGCAGAGCCCACCCTGATCCCCTCTTGTGTTTGTCCGGTGGGTTCCTCAATCTCTGTTTCTAGTCTAGTAGGCTGTCACGAGTTCCAGACTCTGCACATGGACCTCTGGGTTCGTTATGACATTTTATTTTATTTTTAAGATTTTATTTAGAGAGAAGGGAAGGGCGGGAGGAAAAGGGGAGAGTGCAAGAGATCAGTTGTTTCCTGCACGCCCCCAAGTGGGAGACCTGGCCTGCAATCCAGGCACGTACCCTGACTGGGAATTGAACCAGAGACCTTTCGATTCACAGGCTAGCACCTGATCCGCAGAGCTACACCAGCCAGGGCTCATCGCAACATTTTAAAACTGTGAGATCTTACAAAAAAAAAATCTCATAAAGTGTCGACCCAGCCACACAGAGCCCTCTTTCCTAGGAAGTAACGATAAAAGCAAGAATGGTGAGCAGCTGTCTCACTTTCATCATTTAAGTCACCACTGGCCCCTCAGCCCCTGAGTTTGAGACCCTTCCCCTGAGTCACAGGAGACCAAATTTCAGTCTCTCCTCTATGCTGACACTTCCTAAATGGATACCCCTGACCAGATGCCTCTCTGATACCTACTGAAGAATAATCTAAGGCCTACGAGCGCCACTCTCGTGTATCGCAAATGTAACACATTCGGTGCAAGACCTGTGATTTCAGAACCTTGAATCCCAAATAAGAAAGAGCAACCACTTGTTCAAAAGAGCAACAAGGTGGTGATCGAGACTGATGTGACTTTGGGTGGCAGGAACCCAATGTACATACAGATCACTTATCATAAAATGTACACTTGAAATGTATAACATCCTATTAGTCAATGTCACCACGATAAATTTAATTTAAAAAAAAAGTGACATTAGTTCCTTTGATTCATCATTCACAATAACTGACTCTACATGGACCAAAAACCTAAATAAAGAGGTGAAATTCTAAGACTCATAGGAAAAACAGGAGTAAGTCTTCATGGCCTTTAGTTAGGCAATGGTCCTTCAGATACAATACCTAAAAGCACAAGAACAAAATAAAAGAACTGGACCACATCAAAATTTAAAATGTGTGCTCCAAATGATGCCATTGAGAAAAAGACTGCCCCCAGTGTGGGAGAAAGAGTTGCAAAGCACATATCTGATAAAGGACTTATACCAAGAATGAACAACAAAAGAATATGTAAAAGAACTTTCAAGATTGAATAATAAGGAAGCAAAGAACCCAACTGAAAAAACAGGCAAAAGACTTCAATGAGACACTTCACCAAAGAGAATATACAGATAGTGAGTGAGCAAGCACCTGGAAAGGTCCTCATTATCAGATGAGAGCTGCAGTGGGGTATGACTGCACACCCACGAGAATGGCTACACGGACAAAGACTGGGCACGTTCAGTTCTGACAAGCACACGGAGCAATGCAATTCCTGGCATGTGCTGGTGGGAATTAAAAAAAACAACAACAACAAGACAACTGCTTTGGAAAAGGCTGGCAGCTTCTTTAAAAAGCAAAACCAACTTATATGCGTACCTTCCTATAACCAAATCCTTCTCAACAGAAAGAAAAGCATGTGTCTACAGAAAAATGTGCAGACGTGGAAATAACCCAAATGTTGATCATCAAGCGAATGGATAAACAGATTGTGGTTGATCCATGAAGTAGAAGAGTACTCAGCAATAAAAAGAAATGAACAATTCCCCTGGCTGGGTGGCTCAGTTGGTTGGAGTGTTGTCCTGTACACCAAGAGGCTGGTCCAGGCGAAAACTGATTGATGTTTCTCTATCTCTCTTTCTCTCTCAAAGCAATAAACATCCTCAGGTGAGGATCTAAAAGAAAAAAGAAAGCCCTGGCTGGTGTGTCTCACTGGACTGAGTGCCGGCCTGGGAATGAAAAAGTTGTTAGTTTGATTCCCAAATAAGGGGACGTACCTGGGTTGCGGGTCAAGTCCCCAGTTTGGGGCATGTAAGAGGCAACCAATCAATATCTCTCTCGCACATGGATGTTTCTCTCTGTCTCTTTCTTCCTCCATTCCCCTATCTCTAAAAATAAATAAATATAATGTGAAAGAAAGAAAGGAAGAAAGAAAAGAAAAAGAAAGAAAACTGAACTACTGATACATACATATAAGTGGGTGAACCTCAAAAAAAATGATGCCAAGTGTAATAAGTAAGATAAAAAGAAAAAGGCTCCTTTCCATATGATTCCATACATATAAAATTCTAAACTGAGCCCTGGCTGGTGTGGCTCAGTGGACTGAGCGTTGAGAACCAAAGGGTAGCTTGTTCAAATTGGGGCACACGCCTGGGCTGTGGGCCAGGTTCCCAGGTGGGGCACACAAGAGGCAACCACACATCGATTTTCTCCCTCTCTTTTTTCCTCCCTTCCCCTCTCTCTAAGAATAAATAAATAAAATCTTTAAAATTCTAAACTGAGCAACCTAAAGCACAGTGACATAAAGCAGAGCAGTGGTCAACAGGTCATGGAGGGGGGCGATGAAGGAGAAACTGTAGGGGCTAATGAATGTTGTCAGATTAAGGTGATGGTGTCCTGGGTGTGTAACAGGTGTCAAAACGCATCAAATCGTTGACTTTAATTATGTGCAGTTAACTATAGGTCAGTTAAACCTCCACATAAGCTACTAAAGCAATGACACCGTACTCTAGTTCTGAAGGTTAGTGTTTTTCCTGAGCAATATTATCCAGGGACACCTTTCTGTGTCAGTGACTACAAAGAGTGCTGACCTCCGAAGAGCACCACGATTTCCATCTTATTGCTACACCCGATTTGTTCGGTCAGTCTTGTAGGTGGGTGTGTCTTGGGCATTTCTCTTGATTTTTCTTCCCACAAAAAACTTTGCACACTTACAGAAAAAAATTTAAGGAATAGGTCCCAGAAATGGAATTGTTTGAAATTTGGCTGATATTGCAAAACTGTTTTCCAGAAGAGTTATCCCAACCTTATGCTCATAAAATGAAGACTCCTTTTCCCATACCCTCACAATACAGGCTGATACTACCTTTTTTTTTAACCTCACCCGAGGACATCCTTAGAGAGGGAGATAGTGAGAGTGGTGGAGAGAGGGAGAAAGAGAGGGTAGAAGAGAGAAACTGGGAGACAGAAAAAGAAAGAGAGAGAAAAACACCAATGGGTTGCTCCCGCATGCGCACTGAGTAGGGATCAAACCCGCAACCTAGATAAGTGCCGTGATCTGGGATGGAACCCGCAACCTTTCAGTATACAAGGGAGAAGGTCCAACAGCTGAGCCTCTCCTGGCCAGGGCTGGTATTCTTTTTCATCTCTGTGTATGTCATGGGCAAGATTTGTACTTCCGTGACTCAATTTGTACTTCTTCGACTACTAGTAAGATTTAAAAATCTTTTTTTTCTTTTTAAGAGATTTTATTTATTTTCAGAGAAAGAGGAAAGGAGGGAAAGAGAGGGAGAGAAACATCAATGTGTGGTTGCCTTTCATGTGCGCCCAACCTGGGACCTGGCCTGCAACCCTGGTATGTGCCCCGAATGGGAATAGGACCAGCAACCCTTTGGTTCACAGGCTGGCCCTCAATCCATTAAGCCACACCAGCCCGGGGAAAGGTTTAAAAATCTTTTATAAAGTGCAACTCCATGCATTTCTACATCTGTGAATTGCACACTCATAAGCTGTGTCCACCTTTCTATCATTCATTCCTTCTTTTTCTTGTTTATTCCTAGGAACTTTTTATATATTTACAAACCTCTGGTGGCCATATATGCAGTAAATACACTTACCCACTTCATTACCCATCAAGTTCATTTTTAGTTTTGAGTAATTTGAATGTCCTACCTAGTCAGATCTGTCCATCTTTTTTATATCTGGGTCATCCTGAAGTGACAGGCAGATAGTAATGTGGTAAAACTGCCCCCTTACCCAGTGAGACCAGGTTCCAGTAGTTCTCCATCATCACGTCCCTATACAGGTCCTTCTGCACTGGCTCCAGTTGCTGCCACTCCTCCTGAGTGAAGTCCACGATCACGTCCCTGAACGTCACCGCCCCCTGTAAGAGGAAGTGCACACCAGTCACC